CTAAGCCTTATGGGCCCTGGTCAGAATTAGTGCACTATATAGAATAGGGTGCCATTTGGATTGCAACCTAACTGTGTCTAAGGGATGCTGATGGCTCTTTCCTCCTACTGAATGTGACAGCCATTGGGTTAACTGTGATGTGAACAGATTGACAGGGATGGCTCCATGGTAGAGGAAACAGAAGAGACAGGAGAGATGTATAGGTCAAGGGCAATGTGACCTCCCATGGCTCAGAGATGCTGATTTGAATTCCCTCTCAGCATTTGGCCGTGTCCCAAATCATTAGGTGAAAAGATGCAGGGACGGAGAATGATGCTGCATGACAGCCGTGGGGGATTCCCTTGTGCTATACTGTAACTGATAGGACGTCAGAAGAAATCCAATATGGTGGAATGGTTGAAACAGATGCATGTTTTGCTCCTTGGTGACTGACCTCATAAAACAATGTTTCAGATTGACCAGCCGTACTGGAATCCCCTGTCCCCTGGACTGAAGTTTTGCTCTCCTTGTTTTTATGCTTCTGATTTAGAGCAGGTATTTTGGTCCACATAACCTGGAAAGATGTCAACCATTAGTGTTGTCCTATACATTCCCCATGGCTTGAAGTCATTATCTCTCAGTGTGGGGGAATTTAAAGGAAAGGTTAAAGGGGTAAAAGCCACTGGGTGGGAAAAATACCCTGACACACACACTTTCTCTCTCTCTCACACACACACACACACACACACACACACACACACACACACACACACACACACACACAGATAGGGGTGGCTATTAGTAGGTTGTTCTTCGGTCCAGACTCATACAGTAAGCCATTAGGGGGGCTTTGTTTTGGGACTTGGACTGTTCTCTTATTTTACTCACTCTCTGATTACACCAGCGCACCCTTTTCCTTCCTTTAGGAAACTCACATCTCACGCTCTTCAGGGGTGGGGTGGATTCCTTTAGGGGTCAAAAGTCACTGCTATTAGGCTTCTGCTCTCTAAGTATTTCATAATTTGTCTTTGTCACTCCTACTAAACTACTTAGCTATGTTGTACATCATGACTATGTTTACATTCTTACCATACTGTTGACAAGTGCACAGCTTCCTTCCTCCTCTAGAGCTCCAAGAGATTTGTGAGGCCAAAACCAATACTGCAACACAAAAGCAAATGTGCCAGCTAGTCTTATCAATGGAATGTTGTTTCGGGAGCGAGAGCGGGAGAGAGAATGGTGACGTCAAGTTGGGCCATGATAAAAGAAGCTTTATCATGTGGTGTGTTGAGGAGTAATGCTTGAAAAATAGACTAACCGTGTTTTCACTTGTAATAAATGGCTAATGACTCAATGACTCTGTATATGAGTTTCATGTGTGAAGGAGGACACTCAATCCAGTACTAAACTAAGCCTGTACGGTGGGTGTCTTCAACCTTTTCTTGCCCAGGTAACCCCTCCCAGGCAACCGGCGACCCATCATACGTTAGCAAAACAAATGTTTTTTCACATGTTGTCTTATCAGGTGAATGATAATGACAAGGAGAAGTAATCAACATTTTTAAATTAATAGATTTGGTGGATAGTTTTTCATTTTTTGACCTACCTACATTATAGTGGAAGAGTAAACTCTAACATAGTCTATTAGCTAGAAAGGTAACTCCAAACACATTTTCACTAAGAGTAGCTGTTTATCTGGTTAAACAAAGGTTAGCCATGTTAGGTCAGCTGTTTGTTCACCCACCCGCAATTGCTAATAATCCATCAGCAACTGCCTGACTGTGATAAAGTAAATATCTTAGGCCCGCACCCGACCCTAACCCGCAAAAATAGAAATTGCACTGTGCAGTTCCCGTTAAAGGATTTGCTTTAGAATATGCTTTAAAAGTCCCAATGCAGTTAGACCTCACTTTTCTATTTTTCGAGTTATTACATAAAACTGATCAGAATGCCGAAGTAATGCCGGAAAAAACATTTGCGGAGTTTGACGTAATATGGAGGACCCGGCAAGCCAGCCTATTCCCTATAATGTAAACTCCAACTGAAATAACTTCAAATGTATAACTTCAAATTAAACCAAATATTTTGCACTCATGACTACTGGTTTCAATAAAATTTTCAGCCAACTTACAAGTAAATACTTTGAATGTATTGTTACAAATCAGCTTGCAATGTTGCTGGCCAACTAGCATGCTAACATTAGCTGTACTAGCCTGCTAACGGTTAGCCCTATCAGCCTGCTAACGTTACGTTAGCACTGCGTGAGTTAGCCAGTTGCTATCAACACCTAGCTTACAGCTACATTAAAGTAAACCAATGTTTTGGAAATATATAACGCCATCTAACCAGTTATTAAATAATCTTACCGGTTTATGCAGTTATCTTAGCCAGCAAACCAGCCAGCTAAAGTTAGTTGTTTTAGCCTGCTAACTAGCCTAGCCAGCTAACTAGCCTAGCTAGCCAACCACCACAGTTGACATAGCTAAGTAGTAAGCCAGAGAACTAGTCTAGCACAGGCAGGAACACACAGAACACAACAACAAAAAAAGACAGCAGATATAAAGTATTAGAGCGGAGACTTACCAATTGACAGCTGCGTTAGCTTCCAAAGAAGAGCCAAGGAAAGGCCTTCAGAGGGAGAGGCCGTTTCACCGGCTGAGGGAGAGTCGGCTAATCCAATAGCGATATAGTGAGGTAAGTCCACTTAAAATTTACCAAGTTTATCTCCATCACTGCTGACACTCACGATGTACCGGTAGGAAATAGAGGTTGCAGGCGTTCCCACTTCACAGCTAGCTTCTAATTTTTGGGCCACAAATTAGTCATAATCTTATCCTTGTGTGTATTGCTGCACTATGTGGGTATTTCTGCACTAGCTATGAACGACAAAAAACTACTACAACACTCATTCGCTTGCTCGACTACCACTGCCAAATGCACAAGAGAAGAGGAGATGCAGATTTTCGCATTCATTTATATGGTTTCTTCTTTGTGGATGTACATAGCAGCTCACCAACACTTGGTTTGGAATGTAATTACATGCTAGAATGGGTAGTAGCTAACATTAGCCAGCTGGAACTAGCTAGGTAACACTGGTTCTCCATATGATGTTGAGAAATAGTGCATTGTGGGTAGTTCCAAAGATATCCGGAAATAAGTTAATAAATATGTAAAAACACTCAAATATAACTATGTTTGTAGTTATAGGTAACCACATTGTTATTACAACTAAGTTACTTTGACCACACTGTGTTGTCACTTTGGTGAGTAAAAAAAGTTTTACTATTTTCTACATTGTAGAATAATAGTGAAGACATCAAAACTATGAAATAACACATATGGAATCATGTAGTAACCAAAAAAGTGTTAAACAAATGAAAATATATTTTATATTTGAGATTCTTCAAAGTAGCCCCCCCCCCCCCCAAAGTACCTCGGCCCCCGGTTGAATACCCCTGCTGTACAGCATCACTGTGAATTAGCCATAGTGTTGCTCCACTGGATAAATTGAATTACCGAGCCAAATGGGGACTGTTGTTCCTTTAGATGGTGTCCCTGTTGACTTTAATCTTGTGTTTGTCTTAATGTCATTAGGACGAGGTGTAGGACCATTTATTTGTAATGTCCGCTCTACATAAAACTACTAAGATCATAATATGATATTATCCCAACCTAATTCCTTTTAGGCATACAGTCCCTCTCCTCTCTTTGTGTCATCCCTATAATCCTTTTCTACCAGTGGAAACTCTGACAGCCCCCATAGATAGTCAGTGTTATACACACGGGCTGGGCATTCACCAGAACATCCACATGAAAACAATGTGCCGTTAACTCTCTGCAAAGAGAAAACAAACAATCAGATCACTCCCCTGTCCCTTTTATACAATAGCCGTAAGCACAGCTAAATAACAACAGAGTTAACGCTCTAGCTAGCGAGGGAAATGTGTTGAATTTGTCATGATTGCTTGCTACTCTGTGTGACGTCTCAGGCCATTGTGAAGTTGCCTAGAAGGGAGGTGTTTCCAGACATGCTAATAACATTGAGGTGCTTTCCGTTGCACTCTCTCACACACTGATTGGGACAGGAGAACATCATCTCCAGCACTTAGCTAGGCTCCTGCACCATGACCTGCCTTGGCAACAAGTCCTAAAAACACTGGACTAGAGCAACATTGTGTACATCAATGTGCAGCTGTTCAAACTTGACGGGCCACATATTTGTTCAATAGAATTGCGTTGCGTTCTTTTGGCCTTGGGTGAAAAAGAGTACATGTATCTATGCAGGAAGGAGTAGACTGGAAATGCCATAGTGTGCTGTATCCACCCCTACTGTGGTCATGTTTTGTTTCACGGCTGCATTGTGTGAGATGAGACTCTTGTTCTCACCTCTTTATACAGTGCTGACGTAAGCAACAGTGGGCGTAGATGTGGACTGACACTGACTGTATTATGATTTGCCTTATCTCCATGCAGTCAGTGTGAATTCTCCATCTCACCTGACGCCTGGGAGCTCCCCGGGGGGACTGGAGTGAAAACAGCCCGGGTGTTGGTCCTGGGAAGGGTGTGATCTGATGAAGAGGGGATGTGTGTGTTTTGTTACATGCCAGGGTTACACCCACCCGGTTTTCCCCTGGCTCCTGCTGGGAAGAGAAGGCCCAATTATTGCATCAAGCCTTTGTTATGTAACACACTGCCCAGCCCTTCTTCGTCCAGCCCTGCTCCGTACAGACCAGGCCGGAATGGGACGGCTGAGTGTGGACGTCTGGCTAGCTTAGCCTAGGCAAACACCAGTCCACACTGAGACCTGGCAGCCATTGTATTAGGGTTTATATCATCTGAAGAGAGAGATTAGTTGAGGGTGTTTCACTATGTGCTAACCTTATCATTGGTATACTGAGCTGATGCAAAGTCATAATGAAAACACTGCAATTTGATAACGGTCCTCTAGTGCCAGATGCAGTGTCATAGGCCCTACTAATTTCAATTCATGCCATTTTCCAAATAAAAGTCCTTACCCCGAAATGGATAACAAGGTGATTCAGTGATGACGCAGAATGAAACTCAATAAAAGTCAAGGATTGATGTAGAGGACTAAAACAGAGGAAGGAACTCTTCTTAATGAGGGTGCTTCAGATAAAACGTCTGGCTGGAAATAAAGGGAGACAGTAACGCTGAAACATGACGATACTGTAGCAGACTTCTGCTCTGCTTTGTGTTTCATCACACTCTTTCAATAATATTCAATATCTTACAGATACAGCTACACATTATGGATGCAATAGAAAAACAGCTCTGTATTTACTCGGCACTTTCATAATCCTATAGTACTGTAGTTATAATGTATTCAGGAATATATACAGTGGGGAGAACAAGTATTTGATACACTCCCGATTTTGCAGGTTTTCCTACTTACAAAGCATGTAGAGGTCTGTCATTTTTATCATAGGTACACAGGATTGTTGACATATATTAGACATCTGTATCTTAAAGCATAATTGAGAAATACATAATGTTTCATCTGTATTATTTTTTACCTTTATTTATCCAGGCGAGTCAATGTGAGAGACGGAATCTAAAACAAAAATCCAGAAAATCACATTGTATGATTTTTAAGTAATTAATTTGCTTTTTATTGCATGACATAAGTATTTGATACATCAGAAAAGCAGAACTTAATATTTGGTACAGAAACCTTTGTTTGCAATTACAGAGATCATACGTTTCCTGTAGGTCTTGACCAGGTTTGCACATACTGCAGCAGGGATTTTGGCCCACTCCTCCATACAGACCTTCTCCAGATCCTTCAGGTTTCGGGGCTGTCGCTGGGCAATACGGACTTTCAGCTCCCTCCAAAGATTTTCTATTGGGTTCAGGTCTGGAGACTGGCTAGGCCACTCCAGGACCTTGAGATGCTTCTTACGGAGCCACTCCTTAGTTGCCCTGGCTGTGTGTTTCAGGTTGTTGTCATGCTGGAAGACCCAGCCACGACCCATCTTCAATGCTCTTACTGAGGGAAGGAGGTTGTTGGCCAAGATCTCGCGATACATGGCCCCATCCATCCTCCCCTCAATACGGTGCAGTCGTCCTGTCTCCTTTGCAGAAAAGCATCTCCAAAGAATGATGTTTCCACCTCCATGCTTCACGGTTGGGATGGTGTTCTTGGTGTTGTACTCATACTTCTTCTTCCTCCAAACACGGCGAGTGGAGTTTAGACCAAAAAGCTCTATTTTTGTCTCATCAGACCACATGACCTTCTCCCATTCCTCCTCTGGATCATCCAGATGGTCATTGGCAAACTTCAGACGGGCCTGGACATGCGCTGGCTTGAGCAGGGGGACCTTGCGTGCGCTGCAGGATTTTAATCCATGACGGCGTAGTGTGTTACTAATGGTTTTCTTTGAGACTGTGGTCCCAGCTCTCTTCAGGTCATTGACCAGGTTCTGCCGTTGTAGTTCTGGGCTGATCCCTCACCTTCCTCATGATCATTGATGCCCCACGAGGTGAGATCTTGCATGGAGCCCCAGACCGAGGGTGATTGACCGTCATCTTGAACTTCTTCCATTTTCTAATAATTGCGCCAACAGTTGTTGCCTTCTCACCAAGCTGCTTGCCTATTGTCCTGTAGCCCATCCCAGCCTTGTGCAGGTCTACAATTTTATCCCTGATGTCCTTACACAGCTCTCTGGTCTTGGCCATTGTGGAGAGGTTGGAGTCTGTTTGATTGAGTGTGTGGACAGGTGTCTTTTATACAGGTAACGAGGTTCAAACAGGTGCAGTTAATACAGGTAATGAGTGGAGAACAGGAGGGCTTCTTAAAGAAAAACTAACAGGTCTGTGAGAGCCGGAATTCTTACTGGTTGGTAGGTGAACAAATACTTATGTCATGCAATAAAATGCAAATTAATTACTTAAAAATCATACAATGTGATTTTCTGGATTTTTGTTTTAGATTCCGTCTCACACAGTTGAAGTGTACCTATGATAAAAATTACAGACCTCTACATGCTTTGTAAGTAGGAAAACCTGCAAAATCGGCAGTGTATCAAATACTTGTTCTCCCCACTGTGTGTATGTGTGTATATATATATCCTATCATAGGTATCCACCGTTTCAACTTAAAGTATTGCATGATTCTTGGTCTCAGTAGAAACTGAACAAATAGCATAACAAAAACCCCAAATTCACCCAGAATATTTCCCCCACTGTGTAGTTGACTTGTCGGCTGTGTGGGAATACAGTACCAGAGCTGCACTGCAGAGGGGGAGGAAATGTCTTTGAAGTCCTCTACATTATCTCTTTCTGCTGCAGATAGGAGCAGGGGGTGGAACCGGCAGATCCTGACTCCTGTCCCTGTATAAACACATTACAGCTCTCTGATCAAAGTCATTATGGACTGTTAATGTGTTATTGTTCCTTATATAGAATAACTTCACAATTAAGCGTCAGAGCTGATATCTTGTTGTTTCTGCTTGTCTAATAGACCATTAGTCCACTGTGTCCTGGGTGCTGTGTTAGTTTGAATGCGCAATCCAGGATCTAGGAGTCTTTCACTGCATGACTGTCATTACTGTTCAAGAACTGTTTACATGCTGATTTGTAAATGTCACAATCGATATTAACCACACAGTAATTCATTTGGATTCCGCTGAGAGCGTGACGTAGTTAACAAGTAGGTGTTTCAAAGGATGTCTGATGAAATTCCTCCTGGAATTTTGGTGGGAACCAGGAGGAGTAGCTAGATTACTGTACTTGTCCGCAAGTTGGTAGTTTAATATGTAGAGTCAACATCCAAACAAGAATTTAGTCGACAAAATGTGGTGGCATTGCATCAGGGCAATTCCACGGTACGCTTTGACTCAGTTTTTTCACATTAAAATGTATGCCAAACAAAAACCATTGATTTAAAAGTTTAACAAACCACACGGCTATGCACAATTTCCACATTTACAAAAACACATTTGGTGGAAGAACTGTGCAGATGCAAACTTTGGTAACAGAAATACATAATTATGGAAATGAATGCCATTCTCCTCATGTTTCACAAGTTTGGACAGCACAGCAGTGCAGAGAATAGCAGAGAATAGCAGAGTAGAGTAGGGTAGAGTAGAGTTCGGTACAGTAAAGTTCAGTATAGTTCCGTACAGTACAATATACTCTACTGTAATCTACTTAGCTTTACTGTATTGTACCGTACTATTGTATTGGACTGACACTACTGTGCTCTACTCACTAGTGTTGTCATGATACCAGAATTTTGACTTCGATACTGATACCAGGTTTAGTATCACGATACTCGATAGCATCACAATATTCGATACCAAAACGATACCGCAACAAAAAAAAGAAGGCTTATTAGCCAAAGTCACAGAATGGCACTTGATCCAGACAGATAAACTCAGCTACTGCTCTGTTCAATCGTTGGGCATCTTTTGAATTCAATATTATTACATTTGAAAATGTTTCTGTACATGTTTTAGAGACAGCCATGTATGTATGTATCAATGAATACATTTTACTATCAATGTGGCATAGTTGTAGCAATAATTTTGACTTTGGTAAAAAATCTAACTACATAACAACATAATGGTAATCAGTTATTTGAATAGTAAATCTCTTGATAAACTGGGTATAGGTATTTTCACAATACAGGTGAATGCATATTTTTCAATAGCAGTGTGTGCATGCATTAAGTTATTGAGCTTGTTTTAGCTGATTTCATGGGGCTACAGATGACAAACAATCCCTTCCATTTAGAACTTATTTTATTGGCAACTGCTAGGAGAACATATTTTATTATCAACAACATGTGCATAGAACAGGGATGGGCAACTTTGATGGGGGTGGGGACCACAAAAATCTGAACTCATCATGAGGGGCCGCAGTTGCTTGCGGGTCTGCGTACCACATGTGTATATCACATTTTTAAATGTTACCTTTTTATATTCTACTATTCTAACTTGCAACAGTAAGTTGAGACCCTGACTAAATTGATCCGAGGGCCTTCAAAATGCGCCCTGCAGGCCGCCAGTTCCCCATCCCTGTCATAGAAGAAGCAATCTCTTATTTTATAAAAGTGTGTGCTGTCTCTTTAAGAAAGTAAAGACGTCATTCGCCAGGCAGAACCTGGCAGTGGAATCGGACTTTCTGGCTATGAAATTTAGTGGAAACCAGACAGGAGGCTTGAGAGACGAAGAAGTTAATGAGTTTTTGGTGGCAAGGGAGACCAAGTGAATTAATAACGTTTTTGGTGACAATAAGCTTTAAAATCAGTCGTTTCCATCTTACCGTCCAAATGCATTGTAAGCATCCTCCTTAACTAGATTACATTTTACATTTACATTTTAGTCATTTAGCAGACACTCTTATCCAGAGCTACTTACAGTAGTGAGTGCATTTTTCGTACTGCGTCACCCGTGAGGAATCAAACCCACAACCCTAGTGTTGAAGCGCCATTCTCTACCAACTGAGCTACACGGGACTACACGGAGCTTTCATGGCCGGGATACGTTTATTTAATTTTCTGGCGCACACAGCTTCAGGATTGTCCTTGTCCTTGAACCTCAGGAACTTGACCACTATCAGCCTGGGCCTGTCACCTGGGCCAGTGGTGGGTTTTCCAATGCTGTGGGCCCACTCCACCTCAATCTTCCTGTGGTCCATCTTCAGTTTCTCCGAGGTCATTACCCTCACTTTGTCCTCAGACTCCGTCCAGGACTCGTGGAAATTCCGTCCACAACAATGTTGTTCCGCCTTGATTGTCCCTCGAGATAATCAGATTTCTCATTTATTGTTATCATGGATTCACATACAGAACTGATGTCCTCTCTCAAGGACTTACAGATTGCTGTCATCTTGCCGTTTTCCTGTTTAAAGTCATCGAGCTGACCCTGGGAGAACTACAAACTGTTCTTCAGGTCCTGGACCTCTGGTCAGGTCATCCATTATTTTATTAATTGAGTCCACCAGTATTTGGACACAACACTTGAAGCAATTTTCTTGTTGTTGTAACAACTGCAAATATGTTTGTTTAAAAGATCCTTCACCTGTGATCGAGACACCACTGTCCACAATGGGACTCCCACCGTCTTTGTTATGGTAGCAACGTAGGCTACGCTGTTACTCCTCACAGTTTCAGACAGGGCAGGTCACAGGGAAGATGGAAACAGCAACAAATAGTAGGGATCTAGACAACTTAATAATTCAAAAAAATTGAAATCAGTTAAATCACTAACTGATTGGTAGGTCTACCTTTACTTGTTACTTCTGTGAACTTTCATTATCCTCTCTCCTCATGAGGGAAATATCTTAAATATATGTGGGTTTTTGGTAACAGGATTTTGGTAACGGCAATATTTCTTAAACTTACTGAAGGGAAGAAAAATGTGTTGATATTAGTTGGCATGGGTTTTTAGGTCAACGTGTTTTGATGATGTATTTCTGAAACTTTTTAAGACTTTCTGGTTTAAAAGAATGTAGGACCCCATTTCCATCTTATGCAGAAATCAAGGCCTTTACTTATGCAACATTTTTAAGATGGAAATTGTTGAAAAATGTATCTATGCCTTCATTTCCCCAACAAATTGACTCTTAACTTTCATTTGACATCCAATTTTGATATGCTCCTATAAACTTCACATGGGTCCTTTTCGATGGAAAGGCTATAAAACATAATGCACAATGGTTGTTGTTAGTAGTTTGAGTAATGTTTATCAGAGACAGGAACTCTGACTCACTGTTGCTCTGTGAAACCCAGAGTGCGCTGACACTTGTTGCCCTCAGGAAGACAGACTTGTATCTCATTCCACTGTGGAACCTGTCATGAATCACGTTCCTGTCATGTTCTCCAGTCCTTCTCCCAGAGTCTCTGTGCCTTGAACCTGGGTGAGGCTGGAAGAAGGTTGTGCATTTCATGGCCTGGGGCTCCAGTATGTGAGCGGCCTAGTGGGGGAAGGGGGACGGGGGTTAAGTGTGGGTGCCAGTGGGGGGAGGTGACAGTTGGAGGGGAACAGCTGCAGTCCTCACCGAGGCCCTCATGCTGAGCTCTGACACAACCGTGAAAAGATAACATCCTCCCTGCTGTGGCCCACTGAGGAATCTGGAAGGTTGACCCTACTCGGAGGTGGGTTAACAGGGCTATGTCAGCCATGGAATGGCTCTCCGGCAGATGGATCAACAACCAGAGGCTCGTACAGACTGGAGACAAGCCTAATCTCCTTGTCCAAGGCCCTGGCAAGGCCCTTTGACAACCAGGAGGCAGTTGGACACAAAAAGATTCTACATCCCAGAGCTGCATACAATGGACAGATACAAATTGAACTGGTGACCTTGTTTACTCGTACTGTATATCTGGAAATGAGGGATTCAGACGGTAGTCACTAGTATCATCAAATAAGTTGCCATATTGAATTTCTTCAAGGGTTTGTCTTCTGTTTCAAATTGACTTTCAATCAGTTTCAAACTGAGTTCCAAAGAGTTTCAAACTGAGTTCCAAAGAGTTTCAAACTGAGTGGAAACGGGAGATAAAGAGCTTGGTGTTTACTGTTTTAGATGGCAGTTTATGTGGGTCACTCAGGATTTGTGAAAGATGTTTTTTGAGGCACTCACTACAAACTCAATCTGAGGAGCCGATTCTAGCAGCTTAACTGCTATTTACATGGGGAAAATCACTACTCATCAGTGCTGTGCTGCTGTGTCTACTATCCTGTCAGATATGAATTCTCCAGATGTTATTTTTAATTCCTTGAATAAATGACATGGGGTATGTTGATAGTACACTATTCTAATCTCCATGTCTATTATAGTCTCACTTACTTCTCTGTTTGTTCTTCTTCATGCTGAAATGGGAAGCTGCTCTATTTGCAGCTGTCTTACATAAGTCGTGGAGCGGTGGACCAGACACTCCCTGGTTGGACTAGAAGACCAGTGGAATGAAATGAGTCTTCTTTGTCTGTTGTTGTCAGCCATGTGTCATTAGAGTGCAGGTGGATGTTGAGGGGTCAGACTGCGGGAGGAGGTGTGTGTGTGTGTGTGTGTGTGTGTGTGTGTGTGTGAAGCAGGGGGTGAGTGTGTGTGTGTGTGTGTGAAGCAGGAGCGTGTGTGTGTGTGAAGGCTGTAACTCCCCCAGCTAGGAGGCACAGCTGAGTGTGGGAGGGGCCCCCTCTCTCTGTAGCCTGGGTGTGAGTCTACGACTGGGAGGCTCAGACATTCAGACAGAGTACTCTGAGAGAGGGAAGTTGGTGCCTGAAGAGAGCTATAGGGGTTCTGGAGAACTTCCCTAACTTTACCCTGCATAAGGCATTTCTCCATTGGACATGCTGGCTGCCTGTTGCTGCTCTTTGGGATCTAGTGAGGAGATTTGTGGCCACAGCTGTTGACAATGCAAGGAAGGGCTAACAAAGCTCCTAAGAAGGAGCTGGTGATCGAGTCACCCCAGCAATACAAGAGCTTGGCTGGAGCCGAGGCAGAGGTGGAGGCAGCGCCACAGGTGGTGGTAAGTCACGGCATGGGGGGTTACTTAGCCATGGTTTCTGTTGAGACACTAAAAGTTACTGAATTTCCTTACCACATGTTTTAAGTTTACTTTGGAAACTTGAAGTAGGAGCTGAAACGGTTACTTCATCACATTTCAGCAGTACTGTTGTGGATATGGTTTATAGTAAAATATCTGTAGCACTCTAAGTATTCCTTTTTGTGGCGTAGTTGTTGCATAACTGTTGTGTGAAGCAGGTCAGGTGCTTGGAAGCTCTGAGCTGACCTTGCCCTGCCATGCAGCTTCATGGCTAGTCTAAAAATCCAGTCTCCTTTTATCAGATCTAAATTATTCCACACAATGGTGTGGGCTCACATTTCAAAGTGCTTTGTGAGCCCAACTGGAGAGGAACATTGGACTCTGCTGGTGCTAAATTAGCTGCATGGATAAGACCAAGGCAGTTAATTGCATTCTTTAGAGGTAATTACTGTGGTGTATACCTCTCATAAAAGTTCCCTCTTTGCTCCTTAAGCTCAAAAGTCAAGCATAATAAGAGGTACTGTTTAATCCACGGCAGGTTGAATCTTTCATCCGTTTGTCCTAAACAGTCATTGAACAGCATATTTTAACCAAAGTAAAGTAGCAACTGTATCCAATATGAAGGCACCACAGAGCACCATTGTTCCAATGTACAGCAGGAGTGTAGTGAGAGGTGCAGAGTAGGGAGAGATGGGAGCCAAGGCCTGGGGAAACACAGCTGTCAGAGTGGTAGAGAGTTGGTCTTGGAAGATTTGGCTCCAGAAGCAGCTATTTGTTAACTCTTTCTCTTCAAGGGGTTGTGGTTTGTTTATGAAGCTAATATCCAGATGTGAGAGTAATAGCTATGTTATACTCCTTTGGACTGATTGTCCTATAATTGTAAGGCTTTGGTTACTGCAAATGTGGAACTGACATTTATATCAAAAGGCTTCCCAGAGGCACTTGTTTTGAAAAAGGGATAGTTACCCTTCTGTTTCAAATCATATTCACTATTTAACAATGGTGTTACTGAGCCTCACTACCCATTGTTTATGGTAAGTCTCTGGTAACCCTCAACAGGCGTTTGATTTGCCAATCTCTACAGCAGGGGTGTCAGACTCATTATTCCTGCGGGCCGCATCAGTGTCTGGAGGGCCGCACTATCTATCGTCCTCTCTCATTTTTGGAATGTTCCTAAATGCTTCCTGACTATCCAGCTTTCGTTTTGGTGTTTCTTAGCAACCTGGAAAGAGTGAAGAGTATATAAAATGTAGGTCCAATATAATGTCTACACAATTTCTATTTGGTTTTAGTCATTTCAATGTGACAATGTATTTTTTATATTTTGTATAAATGTTTTACTCAAACCACCCGCGCCACATTGAATGGGCTCCGGCCCGCGGGCGTTGACTTTGACACGTACTCTACAGGAAGGATGCTGAGGTTATGTACTATTATCTACAAGGCTAAAATACAGTGGGGGCTGTACTGTACAGTAAGAGGAACAGGGTTGTTGGTACAGCAGTGGACTGGACTGTGGTCATTGCTGTGGGCTGAGGGAGTGAAAATGACTGGGCTCCAGTCAGTGAATAGACATTTTCTTATCCGATGCTTACTCTGTGGTTTGGCTGAACAGGCTCATCTGGTCCCTGACATAGGCATATGGTAAACCTCAACGGACGGTGGGAGGAAGGCTGACAATAGGCAAGATTCTAGTCATGAGGGAGAGTTTGTAGGCTCAGGAATTCATCAACAGTAAGAGGAGGAGGAAGACAAGCCTAATAATAACGTTATTACATGTTGTTTAACCTCCAAACATCCGAAATGTCAAGCCACAGTTATGCAATGATTTTCATGTTGGATGAGGACTTGTGGGGTGGTAAAGTGATATCGGTAAAGTAGTTGTGATATTGATAAAGTAGGACATGTATACTATTTGTCTTCAAATCCATGTACTGAATGCAACAAGCTTTTTGTGTGTTTTTATTCCAAGTGAGTAGAGTGTTGTTGGTGACTGTAGACTGATGGTTGACATACTGTTGTAAAATCTGGCAGCAGTCACCTGACCCCCAGGTGTGTGTCCTACCCAGAGGATGTGTGGGGAAATCCCTGTAATGAGGTTCCAACAGTATTGTCTCCTTTGGGCTAATAGTGTACCCATGTACAGTAAACATAACTGTCATATTCAATGAGCAGTCACTGACTTAGAGGCGGGTTTGGCTCTCAAAGAATGCAGCAGGCAATGAACAGGTTAATACCTGGGTTCAGGAGAGGTAGCTCTGTGTTTATGATGTTATATAGCTAGGGTTTACAGTAGCTGTCTCTGACAGGTTACCTGTGTGTAGCCCCACGCAAATCAGCGACTCTGCTCTCTGATCATAGCGATGTGGAGTTATCAGCTGACAGAGGATGAACACACACACACTCACACACACACACAGGTAGTCTGTCTGGACTGTTATCTCCTGTTAGTCTGTAATCATGTCTCCTGACTCACCTGGCCTGTCTGCTTCAGTGCAGAGCGTGACTTCCGACTTCATTCCTCCTCGTCTCAGTGTGTCGAAGAGCGTGAGTGTGTGTGTGCCTTTCGTGTGACACCTCTCTGCAGGTATGTTTGGGCACGTTTGTGTGCATGTCATGTTCTTCGGAGTACGTGTGTGTATTCATACTTGCATAAGCCATCGTTGCTCCTCTGAACTGAATCATGTCTGATGATCCCCCACAGGCTGGTAGCAGCCAGGAAGACCCCCTCCTCTTCACTGTCTTGCACTGGTCCTCTGGACTGTGGCTGTGAGAGGGACAGGAACATGGATCTCACCAGTCAACGTTGATAGGTGCTGAATGTGTTATTAGTATGGCCACTAGCAACACATCTTAAAACTGGTCCATTTCCAAGACTCTCCCTCTGAGATCATACTTCGTATTATCAGGCCCAGATGTCGAAGCAACATGCAAACTGTACTGGAGCTCAACCCCAAGACCTGGCTAGCAACACGCTTCACTTCACACCTCACTATCTCTCTGAGATAAACACACACAGGCTTCAGATTTATAGTTCTAGCCATTATCTAGTGGAGCTGTTGAGAGCGTTGAGACATGGTCATCTCAAGTGTTCTGTGTCTCTAATGCCACTGTGTTCTTACTGCTTGATGAGTGGAGATCTGACTTGTGTCATGTCGTATACACTACCGTGATGTAGCCTACCATGAATTCAACATAATCATATGTCACCTCTGTTTCGGTTATTCATATAGTTCAATGGACATTTTCATTTTGACTCATGGATGTGGTCTGTAGCAGTACTACTGACGTAGCTTATGTAATTATTCTACTACCTGTTGTGGTACAACTTATCCAAGCAGAAGACGTTACGTGAGACGAAAAGGCTACAGATCTTTCCCTCTGGAATGAAATCAACATTCTTATCTGCGCAAGGCATAATGTCGATATGAACAACAATTCTGTTTTCAAAATACACAAAAGTCGATTATACAACGTTCCGTTGTTTTAGCTAACTGTAATCATATCAATAAGAAAACCAGATGGATTGGAAGGGGATGTCCAAAGATTCATATTTTATCACTGCATTCTGTGTACATTAGGTAACAAACCTCCTACTCATGGTGTTGCATTGTAGCTGCTCAGTGACGGGACAGAGTTGTGTTTTAGCAGTCAGAGAGTGAGGTCAAAATGATCCTCCCATCCGTGAGCTAGGTTAGGCGGATGTATTCTCTGTGGGCGGCTGCAAGCTGCAGGCTGGAGCTCTCATAGGGCTGTCATGGTTGGACTAACAGATAGCATGTGTGAGGACAGGGCCCAGCCAGCTATAGATTCTCTGAGCTCAACTTACAATATTGACTGCGTCCCACAGTGCACTACTTTTGACCAGGGCCCTACTGTCACTTCTGAGTTCTCCGGCTGAAATCCACATTTCCCTCATACCTAGGGTAAATGAGCCCACTTTCCACATGCAAAATAGTTTCCACTTTTAGTGCTCCTTGGGTTTGACTGAGTCTCTCTGAAGGTGAGCTGTCACCATTCTTCAATTTAGAAGGGATGCTTTAAAGAGTCTCTGGGGTGACTTAAATCCTCCGACTGACTGTCTAGATGTTCAGACAGCTATGGTGTTTTACCTTGACTACAATGCACTTTACTGCACTTTGCCTGTCTTCTTGATTTCTCTTACAAATTACACTTCCCTGGTGAGGATGATGACATTCTTCTGTGTTAGTTGTGTCTGAATAGATACCTGTATATTAACAGAGCACGTTTTGTTGTATGTTACCCAGGTGAAGCCCAAGGTGATCGAGCCGCTGGACTATGAGAGTGTGCTGGTCCAGAGGAAGACCCAGATCCTCAGTGATGTCCTCCGGGACATGCTACAGTTCCCCCTGGAGGACTTCCTGGTGAGTCACCTCTGACCTTCTGACCTGTCACTGATAGGCTCACAGACCACTGAATCATATTTTCAGGTAGAGGGCGATTCCTCACGAAACTACAAAAAAACAGGATTTTCATCATCTAATCCAGGGGTGTCAAACTCATTTTAGCTCAGGGGCCACATGGAGGAAAATCTATTCCCAAGTGGGCCGGACCGGAAAAATCATGGTGTATATATAACTTAAAAACAACAACTTCAGATTGTTTTCTTTGTTTTAATACGATCAACATACAACATAAAGCTGGAGCCTGAGGACAGTGTGTCCAAAATAGTACAAGCACAACATCACTATTAATCATAAAACACGTCAAGTTTATTTGAAAATTCTAAAGAAAAAGAACACACAAACACACAATGCCTCAGTGATTAACAGAACTGTTTCACAGATCACAGAACTATATCAGGGTGTCATTTCTCAGGCAGAAATGTAGATAAAAATAATGAAATCCTGTTCCCCAAACAAGTGCAAGAACCACAGAGTCAAGAATAGGTTAAATATACAAATAAAATCAATTAAAAACAATAGCACATCAACATAAAAACATATAAACATAAAGCTGGAGCCTGAGGACAGTGTCCAAAAGCACAACATCACTATTAATCATAAAACACCTCAAGTTATTTGAAAGTTCTGAGGACAAAGAACACACAAACACACAATGCCTCAGTGATTCACAGAAGTATATCACAGATCACAGAACTATATCAGGGTGTCATTTCTCAGGCAGAAATGTAGATAAAAATAATGAAATCCTGTTCCCCAAACAAGAGCAAGAACCACAAAGTCAAGAATAGGTTAAATATACAAATAAAATAAAATCAATTAAAAACAATAGCACATCAACATAAAAACATATAAACATAAATCTGAAAGCGTTGCTCAAACTCCCATAACAGTCCCGTTATTTTATCTTTGAACCGCTTCATGTCTGCCACATGTTGGGTCGCGCACACATTTTTCAGACAGGGGAAGTGAGCTGCATCACCACCAGCAAGTTGCGTCTCCCACAATGACAGCTTCAACTTGAAAGAACGTATGCTGTCATAATACTGCGTGACAACTTTGTTGCGCCCTTGCAGCTGTTTGTTCAAGTTATTCAGGTGCTCTGTAACATCCACCATAAATGCAAGGTCCTGCATCCATTCTGCGGAATGAAATTCTAACACTGGTTTGCCCTTTTCTTCCATGAACTGTTCAATTTCTTCTCGTAAATCAAAGAAACGCCTCAGCACAGCACCTCGGCTTAACCATCTTACCTCAGTGTGGTATGGCAGGCCATAGATGTGGTCTTTCTCTCTGAGAAGGCTGTCAAACTGACGGTGATTCAGGCTTCTGGATCGGATGAAATTAACAGTTTGGATGACCACCTTCATGACGTTATCCATCTTTAATGACTTGCAACACAAAGCCTCCTGGTGCAAAATACAGTGAAAAGTCAAAAAATCACGTCCTCCATTTGCAGATTGCACTTTCTCTCTGAACTTTGTCACAACGCCTGCTTTTTTCCCGATCATTGAGAGCGCACCATCTGTAGCCAGGCTGACAGCGCGGGACCAGTCCACTCCGACCCTGTCCAGCGCGCCGACGAGTGCGGTAAAAATATCAGCTGCTGTCGTTGTATCTGTCATCGGCACCAACTCCACGAACTCCTCGGTGACGGTCAATGTGTCATCAACTCCGCGGATGAAAATGGCCAGTTGTGCAACATCTGTAATGTCCGTGCTTTCATCAATTGCAACCGAAAACGCAATAAATGACTTTACTTTTTGCTTCAACTGGCTGTCCAAATCCACTGAAAGATCGGAAATCCTGTCTGCAACTGTGTTTCTTGTCAGGCTGATATTTGCAAAAGCCTGCTGCTTTTCAGGGCACACAAGTTGTCATATTTGTCGGCATGAAGACTCACATAGTGGCGACGAAGGTTATATTCTTTCAGCACTGCAACATGCTCTGAACACACCAAACATACAGCTTTCCCATTCAATTCCGTGAATAAATAGGATGACCATTTTTCTTGGAACACTCTGCACTCTGCGTCCACTTTTCTCTTTTTTGACAGAGACATATTGGGGCAATGAGGGTGCCAAAGCACATAATGTTAAAAGTAGAAGCCGTAATAAATATCGCGGGCAAAACAAAGTAGCTCATTGGCTGCACGTGCTTGACCTACTTGCTCTGCCCCGGTATAAACAGTTTGCTTGCTTAACACAATTGCTATTGCGCCATCCAGTGGACGCAATTGGAACAGCAGTTTCTTTTATTGAAAAATTGCAGCGCATTTTTATACTTTACAAAAAAATATATATATATAAAAAAATAAAAATCCGAAATCATCTCGCGGGCCGGATTAAACCCGTTTGCGGGCCTGATCCGGCCCGCGGGCCGGACGTTTGACACCCCTGATCTAATCCGTAGAAGGTTCATTTGGGGGAAGGATTGTTGACATATATTTGACTTTTGTATGTTAAAGCATAATTTAGAAATAAATAATTGGAGTTGGAACATTTGTGACATTTTGACCTTACCCAGGCCTCCTTTAAGACACCATAATGTTTCATCTGTAGGTGCTACAAAGCAACATATGAAGATTTACCTCTTGCTCTGTAATATGAGTAGTATTTTTTATTTATTTATTATTACATTAATTTATGAATATTGAAATATATAAACATGAATATTGAAAATATACAATTTTTTGATTTGGTAAAGGTTTCAATATAATGTTGAACATATAGCCTACAGGCATATCAAAGTTCCAGAGTGGGATCTCTGCTACTTTTAGAGTTATAATCCATTTTTGTACGCATTACCAACAGAGTGAATGTGAAAATGGATTCAAATTGGCCACCCTCTACTGGGGATTTGCAGGATGTCCAATGATGCAAGTAAAAGGAGGGCTGTGATTGCCTACAATGCCATTTTCTCTGTGTGAAATAGGCCACAACTTTAAAACTAGCAGAGAGCCCACCCAGTCTGGAACTTTGATATGCCTGGAGTGGACAGTGCTTTCAGAAAGTATTCAGACCTATATTTACATGTATTCAGACCCTTTACTTAGTACTTTGTTGAAGCACCTTTGGCAGCGATTACAGCATCAAGGCTTCTTGGGTATGACGCTACAAGCTTGGCACACCTGTATTTGGGGAGTTTCTCCCTTTCTTCTCTGCAGATCCTCTCAAGCTCTGTCAGGTTGGATGGGGAGCGTCACTGCACAGCTATTTTCAGGTCTCTCCAGAGATGTTCGATCGGGTTCAAGTCTGGACTCTGGCTGGGCCACTCAAGGGCATTCAAAGACTTGACTCCTGCGTTGTCTTGGCTGTGTGTCTGAGGTCCTGAGCACTCTGGAGCAGGTTTTCATCAAGTATCCCTCTGTACTTTGCTCCATTTATCTTTCCCTCGATCCTGACTAGTCTCCCAGTCCCAGCCACTGAAAAACATCCCCACAGCATGATGCTGCCACCACCATCCTTCACCGTAGGGATGGTGCCAGGTTTCCACCAGACGTGACGCTTGGAATTCAGGCCAAAGAGTTCAATCTTGGTTTCATCAGACCAGAGAATCTTGTTTCTCATGGTGAGAGTCCTTTAGGTGCCTTTTAGCAAACTCCAAGCAGGCTGTCATGTGCCTTTTACTGAGGAGTGGCTTCTGTCTGGCCACTCTACCATAAAGGCCTGATTTGTTGGAGTGCTGCAGAGATGGTTGTCCTTCTGGAAGGTTTTCCCATCTCCACAGAGGAACTCTGAAGCTCTGTCAGAGTGACCATCGGGTTCATGGTCACCTCCCTGACCAAGGCCCTACTCCCCCGATTGCTCAGTTTGGCCGGGCGGCCAGCTCTAAGAAGAGTCTTGGTGGTTCCAAACTTCTTCCATTTAAGTATGATGGAGGCCACTGTGTTCTTGGGAACCTTCGATGGTGCAGAAACATTGTTTTGGTACCCTTTCCCAGATCTGTGCCTCGACACAATCCTGTCTCGGAGCTCTACGGACAATTCCTTCCACCTCATGGCTTGGTTTTTGCTCTGACATGCACTGTCAACTGTGGGACCTTATATAGACAGGTGTGTGCCTTTCCAAATCATGTCCAATCAATTGGATTTACCACAGGTCGACTCCAATTAAGTTGTAGAAACATCTCAAGGATGATCAATGGAAACAGGATGCACCTGAGCTCCATTTTGAGTCTCATAGCAAAGGGTCTGAATACTTATGTAAAGGTATTTCTAAAAACCTGTTTTCGCATTGTCATTATGGGGTATTGTGTGTAGATAGATGAGGAATTTTTATTTATTGAATCAAATTTAGAATAAGGCTGTAACGTAACAAAATGTGAAAAAAAGTTAAGGTGTCTGAATACTTTCTGAATGCACTGTATATTATGTTCAACAATATATAAAAGAATAAGCCAAATCAAAAAATATGAATGTTTATATTTTTCAATATTCATACAGTGGGGAGAACAAGTATTTGATACACTGACGATTTTGCAGGTTTTCCTACTTACAAAGCATGTAGAGGTCTGTAATTTTTATCATAGGTACACTTCAACTGTGAGAGACGGAATCTAAAACAAAAATCCAGAAAATCACATTGTATGATTTTTAAGTAATTAATTTGCATTTTATTGCATGACATAAGTATTTGATCACCTACCAACCAGTAAGAATTCCGGCTCTCACAGACCTGTTAGTTTTTCTTTAAGAAGCCCTCCTGTTCTCCACACATTACCTGTATTAACTGCACCTGTTTGAACTCGTTACCTGTATAAAAGACACCTGTCCACACACTCAATCAAACAGACTCCAACCTCTCCACAATGGCCAAGACCAGAGCGCTGTGTAAGGACATCAGGGTTAAAATTGTAGACCTGCACAAGGCTGGGATGGGCTACAGGACAATAGGCAAGCAGCTTGGTGAGAAGGCAACAACTGTTGGCGCAATTATTAGAAAATGGAAGAAGTTCAAGATGACGGTCAATCATCCTCGGTCTGGGGCTCCATGCAAGATCTCACCTCGTGGGGCATCAATGATCATGAGGAAGGTGAGGGATCAGCCCAGAACTACACGGCAGGACCTGGTCAATGACCTGAAGAGAGCTGGGACCACAGTCTCAAAGAAAACCATTAGGAACACACTACGCCATCATGGATTAAAATCCTGCAGCGCACGCAAGGTCCCCCTGCTCAAGCCAGCGCATGTCCAGGCCCGTCTGAAGTTTGCCAATGACCATCTGGATGATCCAGAGGAGGAATGGGAGAAGGTCATGTGGTCTGATGAGACAAAAATAGAGCTTTTTGGTCTAAACTCCACTCACCGTGTTTGGAGGAAGAAGAAGGATGAGTACAACCCCAAGAACACCATCCCAACCGTGAAGCATGGAGGTGGAAAAATCATTCTTTGGGGATGCTTTTCTGCAAAGGGGACAGGACAACTGCACCGTATTGAGGGGAGGATGGAAGGGGCCATGTATCGCGAGATCTTGGCCAACAACCTCCTTCCCTCAGTAAGAGCATTGAAGATGGGTCGTGGCTGGGTCTTCCAGCATGACAACGACCCGAAACACACAGCCAGGGCAACTAAGGAGTGGCTCCGTAAGAAGCATCTCAAGGTCCTGGAGTGGCCTAGCCAGTCTCCAGACCTGAACCCAATAGAAAATCTTTGGAGGGAGCTGAAAGTCCCTATTGCCCAGCGACAGCCCCGAAACCTGAAGGATCTGGAGAAGGTCTGTATGGAGGAGTGGGCCAAAATCCCTGCTGCAGTATGTGCAAACCTGGTCAAGACCTACAGGAAACGTATGATCTCTGTAATTGCAAACAAAGGTTTCTGTACCAAATATTAAGTTCTGCTTTTCTGATGTATCAAATACTTATGTCATGCAATAAAAAGCAAATTAATTACTTAAAAATCATACAATGTGATTTTCTGGATTTTTGTTTTAGATTCCGTCTCTCACAGTTGAAGTGTACCTATGATAAAAATGACAGACCTCTACATGCTTTGTAAGTAGGAAAACCTGCAAAATCGGGAGTGTATCAAATACTTGTTCTCCCCACTGTATATGAATGTAAGAAAATTGTTATTGAAATCAAAATACTACTCATATTATAAGGCAAGTGGTAAAGCTTCATGACATAAATATTTCCTTTGTAGCACATACCAGGCCGTCATTGTAAATAAGAATTTGTTCTTCATTGACTCGCCTGGATAAATAAAGGTAAAAAATAATACAGATGAAACATTATGTATTTCTCAATTATGCTTTAAGATACAGATGTCTAATATATGTCAACAATCCTTCCTCCAAAGGACACTTCTATGGATTACATTTCGTGAAAAAAAAAAAAAAACATGGTGCTGTTTAGTGAGGAATAGAATAGAATTAGCACAGTCATTGTAACTCATTGTCATCCCAAACTATGTTTGGCTTGACAAGGACAGCAATGGAGTTGCCAAGAGCACAAACAGATCTGGGACCAGGCTCAAATAGAATACCATCTGAGGAGATTGCTATAGAATAATACTCCAGAATAGTTAGTGAGGTAAGGATGGATATAATTAATTGCTGACAGTAAATGATCTGTCAAGTGATAAGATTTGTATAGGTTCCATACTAGTGTACCATGTGAATAATTTATGTTATCTATTCATTTTTCATCTATCAACATTAGTCATCTCTGCCTCCCACGTATGTTTTGGTTGTTATGTTTGTTGTGATTTCATGATATTTCAGTGCGGCCCAGCCAGGCCCATGTTGAGTGTAGGGCGAGGTCCTCCACAGAGGCTTTTCTTCTGTTTACATCCCTTCATGCTGTAAAGGTCAGGGGTCATATGTTTTATTGGCTCATTCTGCCTCTGCTGTTGTGATAGAGTAAGGGTTATCTCTATCCCTATTCAGCAGGACGTAGCCACTGTCACCCTCTCAAACGTTCCATCGCTACACAACACGTGATGCCCAGTGTGGAAACTATGAAATGGGAATCTGGCCTGGAATAAGCCCTTCAGGAAGTGAGAACACTTAGGAAGACGCTCTTAACAGCGGCATGAAGGACGCTTTTATATCCGCAAAACCTGACCCATCCTCACTGTCTCACGATCCAACTGATATTTTATATAAGAGGGATTTTTTTATAGTTTTTTTTCTCTCATCTATTGAGAGATTATTTTGTTTCACAAGCATAATGGTTTTTACATCTTTCCTTAGAATATACACTACCGGTCAACATTTTTTGAACACCTACTCATTCAAGGGTTTTTCTTTATTTTTACTATTTTCTACATTGTAGAATAATAGTGAAGACATCAAAACTATGAAATAACACATATGGAATCATGTTGTAACCAAAAAAGTGTTAAACAAATCAAAATATATTTTATATTTGAGATTCTTCAAATAGCCAGCCTTTGCCTAGATGACAGCTTTGCACACTCTTGGCATTCTCTCAACCAGCTTCATGAGGTAGTCACCTGGAATTAATTTCAGTTAAAAAGAAGGTGTGCCTTCTTAAAAGTTAATTTGTGGAATTTCTTTCCTTCTTAATGTGTTTGAGCCAATCAGTTGTGTTGTGACAAGGTAGCCCCCCAAGGTAGCCCTATTTGGTAAAAGACCAAGTCCATATTATGGCAAGAACAGCTCAAATAAGCAAAAATACTTTACTTTAAGAAATGAAGGTCAGTCAATACGGAACATTTCAAGAACTTTGAAAGTTTCTTCAAGTGCAGTCACAAAAACCATGAAGCGCTATGATGAACTGGCTCTCATGAGGACCGCCACAGGAATGGAAGACCCAGTGTTACCTCTGCTGCAGAGGATAAGTTCATTAGAGTTACCAGCCTCAGAAATTGCAGCCCAAATAAATTCTTCACAGAATTCAAGTAACAGACACATCTCAACATCAACTGTTCAGAGGAGACTGCGTGAATCAGGCCTTCATGGTCGAATTGCTGCAAAGAAACCACTACTAAAGGACACCAATAATTAGAAGAGACTTGCTTGGGCCAAGAAACACGAGCAATGGACATTAGACCGGTGGAAATTTGTCCTTTGGTCTGGAGTCCAAATGTGAGATTTCTGGTTCCAACCGCCATGTCTTTGTGAGACGCAGTGTAGGTGAACGGATGATCTCTGCATGGATATTTTCCACCGTAAAGCATGGAGGAGGTGTTATGGTGTGGGGGTGCTTTGCTGGTGACACTGTCTGTGATTTATTTAGAATTCAAGGCACACTTAACCAGCATGGCTACCACAGCATTCTACAGCGATATGCCATCCCATCTGGTTTGCGCTTAGTGGGACTATCATTTGTTTTTCAACAGGACAATGACTCAACACACCTCCAGGCTGTGTAAGGGCTAATTTACCAAGAAGGAGAGTGATGGAGTGCTGCATCAGATGACCTGGCCTCCACAATCCCCCGACCTCAACCAAATTTAGATGGTTTGGGATGAGTTGGACCGCAGAGTGAAGGAAAAGCAGCCAACAAGTGCTCATTATATGTGGGAACTCCTTCAAGACTGTTGGAAAAGCATTCCAGGTGAAGCTGGTTGAGAGAATGCCAAGGGTGTGCAAAGCTGTCATCAAGGCAAAGGGTGGCTATTTGAAGAATCTCAAATATAAAATATATTTTGATTTGTTTAACACTTTTGTTGGTTACTACATGATTCCATGTGTGTTATTTCATAGTTTTGATGTCTTCACTATTATTCTACAATGTAGAAAATTTGTAAAAATAAAGAAAAACCCTTCAATGAGTAGGTGTTCTAAAACTTTTTACCGGTAGTGTATATGTTGGAGAATCAGCCATTTTAAAGAAGGGTTCGATTTCCTGGATGTATTCAGCGTGTTAACAGTTTATTTTTTTTGTCTCATCGCTGTATTGCCAGAAAATAAGAATATTCACTGGCGCTTACTTACGGACTCGCAAGCTATTCCTCATTACATTTACAACATTACACTGCAATCGTGCCCTCGCTCTCTTTGAGAAAAGCTCCTGGCCTGTCTTTGATGCTTTGCTATCGACCCACTGTACTGTAAAAAAATAAACTCTGTATTGCGTTTGCAAAAAGCTGGGAGGGAAAGGGAGCATTGTGGCTTGAGGGCTGGGCAGGGGGCGGAGGTGGCGGGGGCTAAGCCGGTTGGGTGTATGTGAAGGCCAGACAGCTGGAGCACTCAGCTCGATGACAGAGAGGAGGCCTTGACCAGCTGTGTCTGCTGTGCTCTCATGGCGCTCCAGTGTAACGCTCTGCTCTGGCCATGACATACGAGTCCTGCATACACTACAAGCGGTGCGTTGTGAGGGGAGTGACAGGTGATGATCCTGGAAGAAGAAGAAAAAAAATCTGAAGACTGAGCTCCACATCTGTTTAGGTCACATGACTCTCTGAGATCTTCTTTACGCAAGTGGTTTTATCCGGTTGTATGTCAAGACCTTTCGATTGTGGGTATTCAGTGTTCTAGGCAGAGAAGGGTGGTTTCTGGTGCTATTAAACTCCCGGACACTGATGACTGTGTAGTGATAGCAGCCTATAAATCCAGTCCAGACCCGGCAGAGCTCATCTGACCACACTGCTAGTCTGTGGGCTGTTTTCGGCTGGTGTGTAAATCATTTTGTTGGCAGACACTGCCTCAGCTCAGGAACCGCTGTCAGGTTTCTCATGCTGTCCTCTCTCTCCCCCCTCTGGATCCAATGCCTCTCATTGGAGGTTGTTATCAAATTATATCTCAGAGAGAACAGGGACTTAACTGTTTAGGAAAATAAATTGTGAGACGGTGTTTAAATTACCTCATCTGGATTTGATCAGACGGCGCTCGGCGTTAGGAGAGCCAAGCAGGTTTTGTCAACGTGTCTTCTTAGGGAGTTTGTCTGGGATTACTGGGAGAGGAAGGAAATGGGAAGGGAACCTCCCTCCCTGCTTTAACTTGAGATGTATGCTGGTCATAAAGCCTGCAGATCAGGAAGAGCTCTGAGCTGTCACTGGATTTACTCCCAGGAATGTCAAGGCACTATTCCTCCTCTTGCTATTTCTCCCTATTTGAACAATTTCAGCATGGCAGGGTGGTTTTAATAAAACTCTATGTATACCTTCAAGTTTCAGGATTCAATGAGTTGAAGTTGTGAGGGAAACATGAGAGAGGGAGAATTCTAATGGTAACTTTTTGAGGAATAATATATATAAGTACAATTTGAATTGGCTACAATGGGAAGTCATAGTCACAAACCACATAGTTGGGTCACCTGCTACTGTCCTCCCTTCCATTGGCATACTGTTATGTTCAGCTCATAACTGTTTTCTTTCTCTTTCTGTCGTCTGGTGGTCAAAGCAAGAACGTAAAAAGTCTGGACAACCCCTCCCTCTCTCTCTCCCTCTCCAATTAATGTCACCTCTCCCGGCTCTTACTGACACCTACCCATGAGCCCCCTCTCTTTCCATTTACTGTAAGCAGCCCCCTCACTCATTGAGCACTGACCGACACCGGACATCCATAGACGCTGAGATTTGGTCAGTCCGCCCTGGATTTCAACATCCACAGACATCTGGACCGGCCTTAATTTGTCCCAAACATAGACGTCCATGATTGGTTCAGATTTGGTCCGGACCAATCATAGAAGTCTATGTTTCACAAGGTTGGACTGTACAGTACATTACAGGATATTACAGTACAGTAGAGCACAGTCGAGTACAGTAAAGAAAAGTTGAATATAGTTCAGTACAGTCCTGTACTGTGTAGAATAATACCCAAATATGCAAAGGAGGATATTGCATATTTCTACCTTTTGTACCTATTTAGGATACATCCCCATGAAGAGAATGACTTTCAGATCAGGGACCCATAATTAAATTCTGTTACCGCAATGCTGCTACCGGGTGTCAATCCACTTCACTTACTGTTCAATAACCCAAATATATTTTTTCAAACTCAAGATGTCATGTCATAGCTGACACCCCATACTTTCTGCAGCCATCTTTGAATCTTAATTCGGAGCAGATATTTAACAGAGTATTTGGAAAACGTGGTCACACAAAAAACTGCGGGAGAGTTTACCTAAATTCTGTTACCAAACTTTGCATCTGCACAGTTATTCCAGTAAATGTGTTTTTGTAAAATGATCAGTGTAAATTGTTAAAAGTAGTCCTTGTGCATAGAGTTTGTAACAGCGTGTGGTTTGTTAAACTTTGAAATCAATGGTTTTTATTTGGCATACATTTTAAGTGAAAAATCTGTGGAATTGCCCTGTATCTTATCTCCACTGTGCTCCATAGAGTTGTCACGATACCAGTATTGCAATATTACGATACCTGATTTTCCTTGGCAAAAAAGAAAACACAAAAGCAGACTAAACTCTTTGGTCCTTTTAAAAACCTAGTGTATGTCAAATATTGTGTGCAATAGCTTGGAAAAGAGAAATGGGGTTCTGGGTGACAACACAAGGCTGTTTGTTTCCAAAATTAGCACTGTTTTCCTCAGGAAATAGACTCCGCTTCATGTTTTGTTTATCTCTGTGTATCGCGATAGTGGTATCGTGACAACCCTAGTGCTCCATAGAGACTCATATCCCCAGTGCTTCTTCTGGTCCACTTCATGACTCCCTCTGGCCTCTTCTGGCTTACAAGCCTGTTTGTTTCTGCTGCTTAGATTATGGAGAGATTGTCATCTCCCAGCAGGAAACCTGGGCTGGAGAGAGGAAGTGGAGGAGAGAACTCAGGTTCACAAATAGGACCTCTGCATTGTATTCCTGGAATGGAGCAGTGGGCTAGGCTGCGCTAAAACCAGGCAGTCTCAGAGAGAAGGCTATGCTCAGCGGTAGCCAACTCCTCACATCAACCAGAGTCACTGTATTGATTATCAATAAACCTCTACTGTAACAGCCACTGTAACGACAAGTTACCTATTCACCTCCAGTAATTCCCTTTGAAATGTCCTGACAGTAACCTGGAGCCCAACTCCACTACTGCCATTAGGCTAGTTACCCGAATGGACCTCCAGGTTCTATAACCAAGCCTGTGGAGTGCATAATAATATCCCATTGATTCCCAAGGGAGTAATTTATGCCGAGAATTTGAGATAGAGCTTTTCTCTTTCTTTTTGTGGTGCTGTTCTTTATCAATGTACAATTATTAACCTTGGGGTGGTGAGGTTTGGTCTATAATTTGGAATTTCTATTCTCCATTCTTTGTTTGGGCATAGGGAGTAGAAAATGACGTCTGTACTAACCTGATTGGGCTTTTCATTTCACAGTCTGTGACTCAATTCAAGTTTAATTGGAGAGCTGCTTTGCTCTGCATGCTGGAAAAATCCTGGCTATGTGTCTGCTGAAGGCTAGAGATAATGACTTAAGCAGGCCTATTGGTTAAGATGCTCAGGAAAAGCTGCATGAACAGGAGATTTACTGCTGTGTTGAATTGCTTACCTTACTCCTGCCCCATTGCCCTGACCTTAAACTATGCTTTACTGTAAGTCAGGTACCACAGACACATTTCTGTCATGGTTCACCTTTGAACTGTGTCCAGTTTGGCTTTAAAATGATATGAGTTAAGTGGGGAAGGTTGAGGTTTGTTATTCTTCTCTGGTGTTTTTGCTGTAGTTTGTTTCTCTATCCCTCATGTGGGGTAACTGTAATCTGCTGTGTCCTCTAGTGTTTATTTTCTGTTTCCCTTACTTTAAAGATATAAAGTTGAAAGGTTTCTGCTAAAGGAATCACCATGGGGTAAAATGCTAGAGAAGATAGGATTACAAAACACTCTCTTGAATGTTTATTATCAAGGGGAATCTCCAATTAAGTGAGATATGTCAGACAGGTCTCGAAGGGGAGCTCAAAACTAGGTTACACTCGTAACTGGGATTAAAATGTCCTATTAAGAATGAAGAACAACAGAAGGGAGCTCCAATAATATTTGCCTTTCATAAATCTGCCTACATATCAACATTACTCCTATCTAAAATTAGTCCCAAATATAGAGTCATTCATTCATAAAATTGAATTGTATCGGTCTTAGTTAAAAACGGTATTTCTGAAAATAAAATAATACTGAATTAGTTCTGTGTAGTTTTAAGAGTGGGTTAACCCATTAGAGGCCTTGTGAATGGGAAATGAGGGTTGAATGTGTGGATAGATTTTCTGTGAGGTTTGACATAGGCTACTGAAAACACTGAGTTCCTAGTTATTCTAGTGGTATTGAGTTGATACTGTCGATAGATACCACTAGGGCTATGTATCTGTGGTGTATCACCCCCTCCCATCACTAAACAACCACCATAAGCCTGCAGAGTGAAGGACATGGCCATTTAAAGAGGGTGCAGAAGGTAGGGGAGGTGTTGAGTGTCCAGCTCCTCAGGGAAGGAGCCCCATGGCCCAGCCTGGAGGTCAACAATGTAGAGTAGCCTCATCCTGACCCTGCCTCCCTCTCTGTCCTCCTGAAACCCCCACTGACCTGAGACTTTTCTCTAGCATGGAGTAATATTTGCAGGAGCGTTCAGTGAAATCATGTCCAGCTGAGACCACATACTGTAGTACTGAGAAAATAAGATGTTAGCAATCTGTGTTGTGTCATTCCCGAAGGATGTCTTGTATACTTTTATTTTCTTAATCTGTGGTGATTTATGGTTTTGAGTTCATTTTCAGAGCATCACTCATCCAGTCTCATAATCTAGTCAGACCCTGTACTTGATTTAATTAGCTAAATAAAACTGTTTTCCATCCACAGATTGCGACTCAGAGACGCCAAGGAAGAACTCTCTACCCCACAGTGCCTGAGAATGCCGAGAAGGAGGCGCAGAGTCTGTTTGTCCAAGAGGTAAGAACCCACTAGTGCAATAACCCTGCAGGAATGAACCTTTGTGCAGGGAGCGCAGTGGTTTTATTGACAGTTAGGTGTTGGCATTATGATGTGCCATTTACTTGCTAGTGTACCCTGCAGCCATATTAACAAGTTACAATAAATACAGACATTAGTGTCAGTCTTCAGCCAGCTCCTGACCTGGCATTTGATGTATATGGCAGCCTGCACAAGATCAATAGATATGGAAACACACTGGAGTGCACACACTTTAGTCTGATGATTTCCCCATTGTTTATAGAATGTGTCCAGCCAAACCGAACTTCCATTTCACCTAGCACATACTTTGTGACACAATGGTGTTTTATTGTTCAGTACAGGCAGGCGTAGGAATTATGGGCCGTTACTGGAAGCCATCCAGTCAATAGGAGTATTTTCATTCTCTTCAATAACATCTATTCAGGCCAGGAGACCAAAAAACTGATAAGTGGAATCCAGTTCCAAACTAAATGGATGGTTCTTCTCAGACTTCTGGTCTTCATCCTCTCAGAGCCCTGTTTACAGTAGTGCCTCCCTGTACCAAGCCTGGTAAATGCCTTCTGCAATGAAGTGGTGTTAAAATTGATCTTAAAATCCGATGTCAGGCTTACTGTACATTCTGTTCCCATACAGTACTTTATTTATAAATAAAGGTTAAATGAAAAATAACACAGTCTGACATTGACATGAACATCTTGCTTAAACACACCATCTCCCACACACAGTATACCTGAGCTACACAATGGTTTACTGTCATTGTGTCCTGTGTGGACAGTTGGACACTTAATGGACACTGCTCCCATTGTAACACTGCTCTGTAAACCAGAGGCAACCGGCTGCTGACCCCTCAGGTCATGGGTCACAGATTAGGGAGTCCTTTTGGTCAAGTGCAATATTACATCAGCAGGACAGCTGCAGAGTACAACCCTCTCTCTTTTCCATTCCTCTACTGATCAGATTGACTTTCCTCAGCTCAGGACTCCCCTGTCAGACCATTTCTACCAACTACACGCCTCTGTATAAATACCATTCTGGATGTTCATATCAATCTGGAAGTTTTAAGAGTGAACAGATGTGTCTCCCCCAGATTGAGAGATATAGAAGTATACTCCCTCCCAGTTTGTACTGAGTTGATCTAACATCTACTTGATGATCCTTTAAGTCTGGGGTGAAGTGTCATACTGTGTGGATGGGAGATGTGAAAGTATCCTTTGTGTGGGGCTGTAGAATTCCCCCTGAAGTGCCCAAACATAACTGCTGGGTCATAATTAGGATTTATGCCATACTGCTCTAATCATAAAATATTTCCTTTTCTAGTCGGTAGATTTGACTCTCCTGAAAACTGTAGGCTGATGAGAAAGTGCTCTGGAACTATTTTTCTTTAATTCCAGATCCTGTGTAAAGCTTTAATTTCCACCAACTATCTGCTCAAGATGAGCATTCCCTTTGATCCTTCTTCTTCCCCTTCCTTCCTTCAGATGTACTAATCTGATTGAATAGGGAGCAAAGGATTCCCAGAATAAGGGCTGTTTCAGAAAGCCACTGCATAAAAAAAAGGACTTCATATAGGACCCAAAACATGTTTTACGGAGTTACAGTTCCTTCAGAATGTATTCATACCCCACATTTTGTTGTTACAGCCTGAATTCAAAACAGATTAAATTGATTTTATTTCTCACCCATCTAAACACAATACCCTATGTACAGGCTTCCTTCTTTTCACTCTGTCAATTAGGTTAGTATTGTGGAGTAACTACAATGTTGTTGATCCATCCTCAGTTTTCTACTATCAAAGCCATTAAACTCTGCAACTGTTTTAAAGTCACCATTGGCCTCATGGTGAAATCCTTGAGCGGTTTCTTTCCTCTCCAGCAACTGAGTTAGGAAGAAATCATGTATCTTTGTAGTGACTGGGTGTATTGATACACCATCCAAAGTGTAATTAATAACTTAACAATGCTCAAAGGGATATTCAATGTCTGCTTAATTTTTTTACCCACCTACCAATAGGTGCACTTCTTTGCGAGGCATTGGAAAATCTCCCTGGTCTTTGTGGTTGAATCTGTGTTTGAAATTCGCTGCTCGACTGAGGGACCTTACAGAAAATGTAATGCGTTGGGTACAGAGATGAAGTAGTCATTCAAAAATAATTTTAAACACTATTATTGCACACGGAGTGAGTCCATGCAACTTATTATGTGACTTGTTAAGCACATTTTTAACTGAACTTTAGGCTTGCAATAATAAAGGGGTTGAATACTTATTGACTCAAGACATTTCAGTTTTTCATTTGTAAAAAATTCAAAACAAAACATAATTCCACTTTGACATTATGGGGTATTGTGTGTAGGCCTGTGACAAAAAAAATCAATTCAGTCTGTAACACAACAAAATGTGGAAAAAGTCAACGGGTGTGAATACATTTTGAAGGCACTGTAGCTATCTGAAGACAGGTTATTGGCTAACACTGATTGGTTGTTGTGCTTGTTTCCTGTTTCTTTAGACTAAACATTGAAACTGTCTTGGATTACACTTGTAAACCATTGATTGTCTTTCTTTTTATTTCAGTGCATCAAGACCTACAACTCTGACTGGCATGTTGTTAATTACAAGTATGAGGACTACTCCGGGGACTTTCGACAGCTTCCAAAGTAATCCTTTTGCTCAGTCAGTATGGTGTCTTGACAGACAGTACAATGTTATGTCATGTGTAACCAAGTTGTGACTTCCTCCTGGCCAAGTTAGAACAGCTACCCTCTTTGTGCAGAGATTTCACACTAAGGTGCATGCACACCAGTGGAGGCTGGTGGGAGGAGCTATAGGAGGACGGGCTCATTGTAATTGGTGGAATGGAATAAATGGAAACCATATGTTTGACTCAGTTCCATTTATTCCATTACAATGAGCCAGTCCTCTTATAGCGCCTCCCACCAGCTTCCACTGACGCACACACCCGTGTCAGTGTCATGCTGTCGGTAATCTTCAGTCAGCCTTAGTTGCTGATTGTTCAGTATATTTTGGCATGGATACTTTACAAGGAAATGCAGGTTTTACGATTTAACCCACATTAACAATAGAGACTTCCTCAAGCCACGCTTGGGTTATTCCCGAAGATGTGCGGATTTAGTCAGGTTGGAAACCACCCCCGGTTCTGAGAGTGTCATCAATTCCACCATCTGCCCTGAGGGCTATGGTTTCCAGTGTCATTGTGGTGGAATTTACACATAAAACAAAGCTGCCCCGACCTTGAGACTTGCCATTGATGTCAACAGACCTTTAGTCAGCATTCAGTGTCCTGGGAGGGAAATATAAATGTTTTCCTGGGTTGAATTAATTCAGGCTTCCTATGTAAGTGGGACATGCTCATTACATTTGGTTTCATTTCTTAGATTAATGAATGACCTCTCATAGATGAGATAAAATAATACTTGATTCACTTTATTCACATCCTTGTGTTTTACAGCAAAGTGTCCAGACCAGACAAACTGGCTGTCCATGTTTTTGAGGTGGATGAAGATGTCGATAAAGATGAAGTAAGTGAATGTTCTAGCTACAATGCTGTGGAAGGTTACAAATAACAAATAATTTCCTTAAGCTGCTTATTCCTTCGACCCTCAACCTTACCCACCTGCTCCATGTACAAATCATCTCAATACCGTTCTCTCTTTCTATGACTTTAGTGTAAATACCTCAGAGGAACTGAACAAATAATCCTCCATACAGACAGACAAACGAGGTTTCCATGCTCTACTTACACAGTCCAGCAGCTTTTACACTGCCAGAATGGCCACGGTATCTGATGTCTTTTCGCCTAGAAACCAGTCTTTCCTAGAACACACCACCTGAGTCTCACAAGCACCAGATCTTTTTAAGTGATTTGATTCAGATTAGGAACTGATTTGGCTGTCCTGTTCCAATCCCAGTTGTGAAATGTCTCCGGCATGAGATGAAAGCATCATTGTGTCTAAATAGCACATTTTAATGTTAAGTATAAAGTGCAATTTGGTTAGCTGGCCGCCTCTCAAATGGCCTCAGGTTCTTCTCTGCTCTACTTCATGTGTTCATGGCCCCAGACTCCTCACAGCCCATGGGTTTGGCTCTCTTTGTTGTGAGCTAATTTATAAAATTTTGCGACTGCCTGATTATACAACTGTGAAACCTTTGGTCTTTGAACCATAGAGATGTCTGATTCTGTGCTGTGAACAGTCTAAATTAGTCTTTGTTGGCCTTGGAATAGCTTGTGCGAGTCAGTGCACACAAGGGAGGCTATGGGGTCACCTGTGTTCAAACCAACCCTGAAGGGAGGCTTGATCACTGATGCCTGTAGAACCCTCAGAGGGACGGTGCTCTGCAGAGCATGACCTGAGGCAGTCTCAGGCTGTTGATGACACTGATGTTCTACTGCCATCTATGTTGACATTTGCATATATCACATACTGTTCGTTATGTCTTCTTTATGTCATGTCATACAATGCCCCCTACAGGAACTTCATAGCAAAGGTATTTAGAGCAAATGTATAGGGATTCGAGTGACCTCGCTCACTTAACTGTGATGTAGGCAAATGGATTCTTGAGCCGAGAGACTAGCCCAGGTCACCAGAGGTCAGTGCCTGACCAGTGAACCTTTCAGTGAACATTAGATCTGACAGGGGAGGGGCATTCCTTTCATCAGATAGACTGCCTGATGACAAGACCCCTCCCAGCTCACCCTTTCCCTCACCTCCCACACAGCTGTGTAAGAATGCTCCCCGGCCTAGCAGCCAAGAGCGTCCTAGCTACATACCCCTCACCTCAGTTTGTCGCACGCAGGGAAGTAGGTCTGCACCGAGCAGATGATAGCTAAGGAAGTGAGCCATTTCTCCTGAAATCCCCAAAGTCTGTTCATGTTTTTAAAGACAATAGCATTACCACAGGCTGGGGCTACGTGACCAAAGTTAAAATGTTTATGGTCATATGTGTAATTGATTATGAAATTATTATGCACTGTGTTGCAGTTTAGCTAATCTGGTTGGTTTGGGTGTTGCCAGGCAACATTTACAGAGCTTAGGGGTTCACTGAAAACGAACACAAGTCATTTGTCGGCTTCTCTAGGGACTGGCGTATTCTGGTCAGAGGATGATGAGTGGAAGCAGGCCCTGAACGTTTCCAGACCCTCCTCAGATGAGTCTACGATATGCTGGAAATATTCTGCTCGCTGCCAACACTTTTTTAAAGCAATTTTATTGGACGAGAGAGGGAATAGGAATCATGTCATACAGTCATCTTGAAAACCCATTAATTATATCTAAAATCGTCTGGAACAATGGCTTTTACCACTGTAGTCTGTCAAAGAGGAGGCTTAAACACTCTGGACATGTGTTCTGATCGTGAGGACCTGATGGAGACCATGCCAAGGGTAAAATGCTGGTGCAGCAGCTCCTCTTCCCTCACTACTCCCCTAATTGATTTATTTACACATCATTACACCTCTGGAAGTCTCCATGGAATAGAGATGGTAGCCATGTGTCTAGTCATACTTGTTTGGTGCCAATGGTTTAGCTGGTTTTATGGTAACTGGGATGATATGGTCATGCCTCCGTGAAGAAGCCATTGAGAGGGGTTGTTTATTTGTGTTCATAGTGGTGGTTTATTGTATGGCTGGCTGCTTGTTTGGAGTCAGATAGACCTACATTCAACTTAGGTTTCTCTCATCTCATCCTCCATGTCTCCTATACTGTTTTGTAACATTATCTCAACCACAGGATCAAGGGCCTCTCTTGAAATGCACAGTTTGGTAATGTTTTGGCAGAGAGTGGGCAGAGTGATGTTTTGATGTGGTACAGTGTGTGTTTTTGTGTATGTGTGTATATAGTCTTGAGTTTGTCTGATCCCATGCCCATGTCTCTTCCAGGACACAGCCTCTCTAGGTTCCCAGAAAGGAGGGATCACCAAGCATGGCTGGCTGTACAAAGGCAACATGAACAGTGCCATCAGTGTCACCATGAGGGTGAGTGATCCTAATGACGATGATGACACTAGCTATCTTTATTAGGAATGATTATTACACAATGTGCCAGATGTGCAGTGATGATGAATAGTCAGTGCTCGTGTCTCCAGTGACAGAAGGATGTAGCCTGGTTTTCATTAATACCATTTATCAGAAAAACTGATAGTTGTTTTGCAATATTAGAGTGTTGACTTCCTCCAAACCATGCTGCTGCAATTATCCATGCCAAAACCGTGCCTCTTGTTCTCTAATAATATAAATTAGATTTGTATTGTTCTACTCTACTTTCTAGTCTTTCAAGAGGAGGTATTTCCATCTAACCCAGCTGGGTGATGGCTCTTACAACCTGAACTTCTACAAGGATGAGAAGATCTCCAAAGAACCCAAAGGAACCATCTTCCTGGACTCCTGTATGGGAGTTGTTCAGGTAATATAGTAAACTCTGTGTCTGGGATTGTGCTTTGATTACAACACCACACTAACATTATATTGGATAGATCATCCAGCCAGACATACTTCCCTTCCAAAGCTTTTACTTCCTCAAATATATTTATTTACCCATGTAAAATGTTATATGATCAGTTAAACTCGGCACAAGTTAAAGCTAGCAACAGGGGATTCATGAGGAAATGTTTCTGTCTGTATCACTGCTGGGACCCTTCTCCAATCCCCATTGCAATGGGCTAAAACCTGAGCTCACTCTTCCGCTCCCTCACTCCCTCATTCTACAAGGTCATCATTTACTGCTGACTCTCAGCTGCTGAAACAAGGTGAATGCAGATGTCATACTACCATGCACTTTGCAGCAGGCTAGCAATCAATACCACATGCTATAGCTAACAGGCGCACATCTCCCAGTCCCAAGATGGGCTGGAAGCATTATCGGTCTTCTCCACACAAATGGATGGAAAGGTCCTGCTTTTACCTACCAAGCATTCAGCTGACATTAATCAGATACACTATACATACTAAAGTATATGGACACCACTTCAAATTAGCTATTTCAGCCACACCCTTTGCTGACAGGTGTATAAAATCGAGCAAACAGCCATGCAATCTCCATAGACAAACATTGGCAGTAGAATGGCCTTACTGAAGAGCTCAGTGACTTTCAACATGGCACCGTCATAGGATGCCACCTTTTCAAGTAGGTTTGTGAAATTTCTGCCCTGCTAAAGCTGCCCCTGTCAGCTGTAAGTGCTGTTATTGTGAAGTGGAAACGTCTAGGAGCAACAACGTCTTACAGGCCACACAAGCTTACAGAACGGGATTGCCGAGTGCTGAAGCACGTAGAAATCGTCTGTCCTCGGTTGCAACACTAACTACCGAGTTCAGAGCCGCCTCTGGAAGCAACGTCCGCACAAGAACTGTTCATCGGGAGCTTCATGGCCGAGCAGCCGCACACAAGCCTAAGATCACCATGCGCAATGCCAAGCGTCGGCTGTAGTGGTGTAAAGCTTGCCGCCATTGGACTCTGGAGCAGTGAAACGCGTTCTCTGGAGTGATGAATCACGCTTCACCATCTGGCAGACCAACGGATGAATCTGGGTTTGGCGGATGCCAGAAGAACACTACCTGCCCCAATGCATAGTGCCAACTGTAAAGTTTGATTGAGGAGTAATGGTCTGGGGCTGTTTTTCATGGTTCGGGCTAGGCCCCTTAGCTCCAGTGAAGGGAAATCTTAATGCTACAGCATACAATGACATTCTAGATGATTCTGTGCTTCCAACTTTGTGGCAACAGTTTGGGAAGGCCCTTTCCTGTTTCAGCATGACAATGCTCCCGTGCACAAAGCGAGGGCCATACAGAAATGATTTGTCGAAATCGGTGTGGAAGAACTTGACTGGCCTGGACAGACCCTTGACCTCAACCCCATCCAACACCTTTGGGATGAATTGGAACGCCGACTGTGAGCCAGGTCTAATCGCCCAAATTCAGTGCCCGACCTCACTAATGCTCTTGTAGCTGAATGGAAGCAAGTCCCTGCAGCAATGTTCCAACATCTAGTGGAAAGCCTTCCCAGAAGTGTGGAGGCTGTTATAGCAGCAAAGCGGGGACAAACTCCATATTAATACCCATGATTTTGGAATGAGATATTCGACGAGCAGGTGTCCACATACTTTTGGTCATGTAGTGTATCAGAGAGGAGTGGAGAACTTGGCTGGGGCCTCCTGCCCTACAAAAGGGGCTTTTATTGGGCCAGAGGAGAGGGAGGGTCCCCTGAGAGGGTGGGAGTGGAGGTGAGTGAGTGGGTGGGCGGATGTGTGTGTGTGTGTGTGTACTTGGTCTGAAGGGGAGCGGGAGGTGGGGAGGTCACTTGAGCATATGTGCTGTGCCTGCCTCCCATGTTCTATCATTGCCCCCCACACACACACTGCACACACACACACACTGCCTCAGCCCTCTGACACACACTAAAGGGGCCACTAAGATAATAATCCACCTGGGTTCTGTTCAGTTGGAGTGGAAAAGTAGCAGATTCCCTGTTTCATGTCTCCACAGAAAGGGAGGGATGTTTCCGCCTGTGATCGTGGCTCTAATATTGTACCACTTTGTCATCTTTATGTTTGCAAAAGATTGATTTGATATTAACTTTTGTAACCTCTCAGTTATGGTTCCCTGCCATTGGCAACAGTTTATATTCAGACCCCTGACAATCTGACTCCTTAATATTCCTCTCAACATAGACTGTAGGTATATATACTTTTATTATTATACATTTAGTTACAATGTGAAAGACTTTCAACTTTTACACAGTATGTAGATTGTGGTCTTCATCGACCATCTAAGGCTTTGGATGTGCAGATGGTATGTCTATGGCGTGTGCTCCACAACTGCACTCGAATCGCAATAAAGGTTGATCAAAATATTGCTTTAAGAAATATATATATATGGCAACCTTTACTATATAGAGTGCTTTGCAAAAGTATTCAGACTCCTTGGATTTCTTCACATTTTATTGTGTTCCAAAGTGGGATTAAAGTTGATTTAATTGTAATTTTTTGTCAACAATCTACACACAATACCCTGTAATGTCAAAGTGGAAGAAAACATATATTTTATTTTTAACGATTAATACAAAATAAATAACTAAAATATTGTAGTTGCATAAGTATTCAACTCCTTGAGTCAATACATGTTAGAAACACCTTTGGCATCAATTACAGCTGTGAGATTTATTGGGTAAGTCTATAAGAGCTTTGCACACCTGGATTGTGCAAAATGTGCACATTATTCTTTTCAAAATTCTTCAAGCTCTGTCAAGATATTGGGGATCATGGCTAGACAGCAATTTTCAACTCTTGCCATAGATTTTCAAAACTAACTCAGCCACTCAGGAATATTTACTGTTCTTGGTAATCAACTCCATTGTAGATTTGGCCTTGTGTTGTGGGTTATTGCTGAAAGGTGAACTCCTCTCCCAGTCTCTGGTGTAAAGCAGACTAAAGCAGGTTTTCCTCTAGGATTTTGCCTGTGCTTAGCTCCATTCCGTTTCTTTTTTTATCATGAAAACCTCCTAGTCCTTAACAATTATGTCCATACCCATAACATGATGCAGCCACCACTATGCTTCATAATATGGAGAGTGGGACTCAGTAATGTGTTGTGTTGGATTTGCCCCAAACATAACCATGCCACATTTTTTGCAGTATTACTATAGTGCCTTGTTGCAAACAGGATGCATGTTTTGGAATATTTTTTATTCTGTACAGGCTTCCTTCTTTTCACTTTGGCAATTAGGTTAGTATTGTGGGGTAACTACAATTTTGTTTATCCATCCTCAGTTTTCTCCTATCACAGCCATTAAACTTTGAAACTGTTTTAAAGTCACCATTGGCCTCATGGTGAAATCCCTGAGCGGTTTCCTTCCTCTCCGGCATCTGAGAGGAAGGACACCTGTATCTTTGTAGTGACTGGGTGTATTGATACACCATTCAAAGTGTAATTAATAACTTCACCATGCTCAAAGGGAAATTAATTATTTGTTTACCCATCTACCAATAGGTACCCTTCTTTGCGAGACATTAGAAAACCTCCCTGGTCTTTGTGGTTGAATCTGTGTTTGAAATTCACTGCTTGACTGAGGGAAAATACAGCTAATTGTACAGTTGAAGTCGGAAGTTTACATACACCTTAGCCAAATACATTTAAACTCAGTTTTTCACAATTCCTGATATTTAATCCTAGTACAAATTCCCTGTCTTAGGCCAGTTAGAATCACCACTTTATTTTAAGAATGTGAAATGTCAGAATAATACTAGAGATAATTATTTATTTCAGCTTTTATTTATTTCATCACATTCCCAGTGGGTCAGAAGTTTACATACACTCAATTAGTATTTGGTACCATTGCCTTTAAATTGTTTAACTTGGGTCAAACATTTCGGGTAGCCTTCCACAAGCTTCCCACAATAAGTTGGGTGAATTTCGGCCCATTTCTCCTGACAGAGCTGGTGTAACTGAGTCAGGTTTCTAGGCCTCCTTGCTCGCGCACGCTTTTTCAGTTCTGCCCACACATTTTCTATAGGATTGAGGTCAGGGCTTTGTGATGGCCACTTTGCCACAACTTTGGAAGTATGCTTGGGGTCATTGTCCATTTGGAAGACCCATTTGCGACCAAGCTTTAACTTCCTGACTGATGTCTTGAGATGTTGCTTCAATATATCCACATAATTTTCCTTCCTCATGAGTCCCTCCTGCAGCAAAGCACCACCACAGCATGATACTGCCACCCCCGTGCTTCACGGTTGGGATGGTGTTCTTCGGCTTGCAAGCTGCCCCCTTTTTCCTCCAAACATAACGATGGTCATTATGGCCAAACAGTTCAATTTTTTTTCTCATCAGACCAGAAGACATTTCTCCAAAAAGTACGATCTTTGTCCCCATGTGCAGTTGCAAACCGTAGTCTGGCTTTCTTATGGCGGTTTTGGAGCAGTGGCTTCTTCCTTGCTGAGTGGCCTTTCAGGGTTATGTCGATTATAGGACTCGTTTTACTGTGGATATAAGGTCCTTTGCTGTTGTTCTGGGATTGATTTGCACTTTTCGCACCAAAGTACGTTCATCTCTAGGAGACAGAACGTGGTCCCATGGTGTTTATACTTGCATACTATTGTTTGTACAGATGAACGTGGTACCTTCAGGCATTTGGAAATTGCTCCCAAGGATGAACCAGACTTGTGGAGGTCTACAATTTTTTTTCTGAGGTCTTGGCTGATTTATTTTGATTTTCCCATGATGTCAAGCAAAGAGGCACTGAGTTTGAAGGTAGGCCTTGACTCCTTAACTAATTTAGTCTTGCCTAAACAAAGGGGTTTAATTCTTATGCGATGACTATATTTTAGTCCCCTGTAGCTCAGTTGGTAGAGCATGGCGCTTTCAACGCCAGGGTTGTGGGTTTGTTTCCCACGGGGGGCCAGTATGAAAATGTATGCACTCAACTGTAAATCGCTCTGGATAAGAGCGTCTGCTAAATGACTAAAATGTAAATGTAGTCAGGATTATTATTTATTTTTTGTCTTAGAATTTTTCTTACACTTTGACATTAGAGTATTTTGTGTAGATTGTTGACAAAAATTACAATTAAATCCATTTTAATCCCATTTTACACTACCCACCACTGTGACCTGTACGCTCTTGTTGGCTGGTCCTCACTACATGTTCGCCGTCAAACCCACTGGCTCCAGGCCATCTATAAATCACTGCTAGGCAAATCCCTGCCTTATCTTAGCTCATTGGTCACCATAGCAACACCCACCCGTAGTATGCGCTCCAGCAGGTATATCTCACTGGTCATCCCCAAAGCCAACACCTCCTTTGGCCGCCATTCCTTCCAGTTCTCTGCTGCCAATGACTGGAACGAATTGCAAATATCTCTGAAGCTGGAGACTCATCTCCCTCACTAACTTTAAGCATCAGTTGTCAGAGCACCTTACCGATCACTGCACCTGTGCACAGCCCATCTGAAATTAGCCCACCCAACTACCTCATCCCTATATTGTTATTTATTTTGCTAATTTGCACATAATCTCTTGCACATCTATCATTCCAGTGTTAATACTAATTGTAATTATTTTGCACTATAGCCTATTTATTGCCTTACCTCCATAACTTGCTACATTTGCACACACTGTATATACACTGCTCAAAAAAATAAAGGGAACACTTAAACAACACAATGTAACTCCAAGTCAATCACACTTCTGTGAAATCAAACTGTCCACTTAGGAAGCAACACTGATTGACAATAAATTTCACATGCTGTTGTGCAAATGGAATAGACAACAGGTGGAATTTATAGGCAATTAGCAAGACACCCCCAATAAAGGACTGGTTTTGCAGGTGGTGACCGCAGACCACTTCTCAGTTCCTATGCTTCCTGGCTGATGTTTTGGTCACTTTTGAATGCTGGCGGTGCTTTCACTCTAGTGGTAGCATGAGACGGAGTCTACAACCCACACAAGTGGCTCAGGTAGTGCAGCTCATCCAGGATGGCACATCAATGCGAGCTGTGGCAAGAAGATTTGCTGTGTCTGTCAGCGTAGTGTCCAGAGCATGGAGGCGCTACCAGGAGACAGGCCAGTACATCAGGAGACGTGGAGGAGGCTGTAGGAGGGCAACAACCCAGCAGCAGGACTGCTACCTCCGCCTTTGTGCAAGGAGGAGCAGGAGGAGCACTGCCAGAGCCCTGCAAAATGACCTCCAGCAGGCCACAAATGTGCATGTGTCTGCTCAAACGGTCAGAAACAGACTCCATGAGGGTGGTATGAGGGCCCGATGTCCACAGGTGGGGGTTGTGCTAACAGCCCAACACCGTGCAGGACGTTTGGCATTTGCCAGAGAACACCAAGATTGGCAAATTCGCCACTGGCGCCCTGTGCTCTTCACAGATGAAAGCAGGTTCACACTGAGCACATGTGACAGACGTGACAGAGTCTGGAGACGCCGTGGAGAACGTTCTGCTGCCTGCAACATCCTCCAGCATGACCGGTTTGGCGGTGGGTCAGTCATGGTGTGGGGTGGCATTTCTTTGGGGGGCCGCACAGCCCTCCATGTGCTCGCCAGAGGTAGCCTGACTGCCATTAGGTACCGAGATGAGATCCTCAGACCCCTTGTGAGACCATATGCTGGTGCGGTTGGCCCTGGGTTCCTCCTAATGCAAGACAATGCTAGACCTCATGTGGCTGGAGTGTGTCAGCAGTTCCTGCAAGAGGAAGGCATTGATGCTATGGACTGGCCCACCCGTTCCCCAGACCTGAATCCAATTGAGCACATCTGGGATATCATGTCTCGCTCCATCCACCAACGTCACGTTGCACCACAGACTGTCCAGGAGTTGGCGGATGCTTTAGTCCAGGTCTGGGAGGAGATCCCTCAAGAGACCATCCGCCACCTCATCAGGAGCATGCCCAGGCGTTGTAGGGAGGTCATACAGGCACGTGGAGGCCACACACACTACTGAGCCTCATTTTGACTTGTTTTAAGGACAGTACATCAAAGTTGGATCAGCCTGTAGTGTGGTTTTCCACTTTAATTCTGAGGGTGACTCCAAATCCAGACCTCCATGGGTTGATAAATTTGATTTCCATTGATAATTGTTGTGTGATTTTGTTGTCAGCACATTCAACTATGTAAAGAAAAAAGTATTTCATAAGATTATTTCATTCATTCAGATCTAGGATGTGTTATTTTAGTGTTCCTTTTATTTTTTTGAGCAGTGTATATTTTCTGTTGTATTTTTTTGACTTTGTTTTTTTTACCCCATATGTAACTCTGTGTTGTTGTTTTTATCGCACTGCTTTGCTTTATCTTGGCCAGGTTGTAAATTAGAACTTGTTCTCAACTGGCTTACCTGGTTAAATAAAGGTTAAATAAAAAAAATGTAACATTGTAACACAATAAAATGTGATGAAATCCAAGGGGTCTGAATACTTTTGCAAGGCACTGTATTAGTTTGTTGTGAAGAGCTCATCAGCCGATGGCGGGTCAAGCTAGCTAACTTTAGCCAACCAGATCTGTGCCTCCACAAAGTAAACAAAGATGGCGGTGCCTCTTCCTCCATAAAAAATCAGGTTAATAGTTTGGTACATTTTGTTTCCTGTCAGTTGTGTATGTATGCTATCCCCTCCACTCTGGACAGGTCTGTGTTTCATTTTGCTGAGGTTCGGCATTATATGGGCAAGATAATGTTCCTAATTGTAAACCACAACAACTGGTCTTGGGATCTGCTCTTGATTAACTCAGCAATTATTGGCATATGGAGTGACATCATACTCCCCCTCTGGCCCCAAGCTCGTTCAGCACGCTTTGCTTGCTCTTTTATGATAGGCCAACACACTCACACACACACAGAAATACATACACTCGCGCACACACAAACATATTGAGGCTTTCCACCTGACGGCCCTGTGGCCAGCTGCCTCCCGGCCGTCTCTCTGAAGGAGCCTCTCTCACTAGGACCTGCTCTGTGTGATCTGATCTGAGGTCTGGTGTCCTGGGAAACACTGTTGTTTGGCCTCCCCTTACTGAGAGATGTCTCCAGCCATTCCCTTTCCCTCCCATCCCAGTGCTACTCAGACTTTCCATGATGAGAGAAGCAGAGGATGCATCCAAGATCCTCATCTCCCTCTGCGTAATGTATGGAGTTGGGTTACCAAGGCTTTGTGTCCTAAACCAGTGGTTTAAATTACTTAAGTGAAAATACTTTAAAGTACTACTTAAGTCGTTTTTTGTGGTATCTGTACTTTACTTTACTATTTAGATTTTTGACAACTTTTACTTTTACTCCACTTCATTCCTAAAGATAATAATGTACTTTTTACACCATACATTTTCCCTCACAGCCAAAAGTACTCGTTACATTTTGAATGCAGGACAGGAAAATGGTCATATTCACACACTTATCAAGAGAACATCCCTGGTCATCCCTACTGCCTCTGATCTGGCGGACTCACTAAACACAAATGCTTCGTTTATATAAGGAATGTGAAATGATTTATACTTTTAGCAATTACATTTACATTTGATACTTAAGTATATTTAAAATCAAATACTTTTAGACGTTTACTCAAGTAGTATTTTACTGGGTGACTTTCACTTTTACTTGAGTCATTCTCTATTAAGGTATTTTTACTTTTACCCAAGTATGACAATTGGGTGATTTTTTTTTCCACCTCTGTCCTAAACACCAGGCCTGCATATTTGACTCATTTGCATAGTCGGAGTCCTTGCTGCTTAAGGGGGGAGTTAAGGCAGTGGTATTCAAAGTCGGGGTCGCGGGGGAACTGCAGTGGTGTCGCCAAAATTGTTGTACAAATTGTATTTTTTATATATACTTTTTTGGGGTTGGGGGGGGACGAAAAAATAAGAGTACAGATTATTTTATAGGACAATATACAAATGTTTTTGAGAAAGATGATTGGAAAAATGACATTTTATTGAGTAAATGTATTTATTTGTTTCTTTTCATTAATTCATTTAAGCACATAATAGATGAAAATGCAATGGACTGAAGGTTATTTGTTGATGTAAAAATTTACTGATTTCTAAGGTTTTGTCATTAGATTTGGTTTGGGGAACAATGGGGTCCCCAGAAATTCTAGCAAAAAAAAATGGCCAGTATGAAAATGTATGCACTCACTAACTGTAAGTCGCTCTGGGTAAGAGCGTCTGCTAAATGACTGAAATGTAAATGTTAAGGGTTCACAACCTACAGAGATGAACGTGGCTCAGTGGAGGGATTATCTACTCGTATCTCAAAGTAGAAAACTTTTACTCAATGTTATTGTGTTATTTTGAGAATATATAGAAAAAGTCTTCCTCCTCTCTCTCTAATAACCCTGGTTATTAATTCCTGGATGATGAATCCGCTCTGATTCCTGTCCCAAGCACCGCCATATCTACTGTTTACTTTACTGGTCTTGAGCTAATGACCCTCCCTACCATTTACCTCGATCTCTGCAGGCTAAAAGGCTCCTCCTTATTGCAATAATAACCATGGTGACTGAAGCATGGCCTAATGTAATGCAGTGCTTTATTAGAACTCCCACGTGGGTGAACTCAGTCCATGATTTATTTAGAAACGTTCCGGCAATGTTTTGGGGGGGGGATGTTTACACAACAGTGGAATTACTGCACCTCTGCCTCCCTCACTTAGCTCTCCTGGACGTTTGAGTTAACTCCATAAGGATCAAAGCCTGGATGCATACTGTAACATTACTCAGCTACGGTGGTTAGTTTATGGCGGCTGACTGAATCACCAGCATCGGGAGGTGTGTGTGTAATCAAGACGTTCTGAGGCCCACCTGAGGCAGTGACATCACTCTGGCTGGCTGATTGGGGGTCGTAGGTCAACTCCACAGCTCCGGCCCAGTGCTGCTGACTGACTCCCTCAGCAGACCCAGTCCCTTTATGAGCTCAGCTCCAATCCTGGCAGCTCTTCGTTGCGCATATGGAAATACTTTCTCCCTTGCACCCTGCTCCGCTGTGTGTTCGCTCTTATGGTAATATATGTTTCTTCTCCTCCATGTCTCTTTAACTATAACAAATATACACTTTTTGAAGCTTTTGTAAATATAGGATTTATGGACGATGATGCTATTGTTGTTAAATATATACACATACCAGTTTTACTGTTTCCTCGTATTTTCTTACCCTAGTGTATGATTAGATGAAATGTGCTGGTTGGTTCTGGTAAAAAACAATTTTTTATCCAAAGTCATGGCAAATAAAAAATTTGCAATTTTCAATGAGGGAGAGGATGGGAGTTGTTTTCAGTAACGCTTTCTTCGAAATCCATGAAACAAATAATAAAACTAAGCAGCAGCTGCCTTCTAGTGACCTGACTAAATATTGGAAGTTAAGTTTGGATGGTGGATCGGAACGTTTGATTCACAGATGGGTATTTGTTTTTTGACTAAGAAACACACGAAACGCTTGACCTGCACATACTCTAATCATCCTCTTTTCAAAAAGTCAACTCAATTGATGTTTTGTGTGACGGTACGGCATTGTTTTATTCTGGAGAGCATGTTCCTCATCATTTGTAGTTGACCCTTGCTCTCTAATGAAACTGTTGCTATTCCTCAGCAACTTCCCCTCCGCTCCAGCATTACCTAAACAAAGATGGTCTCACCGAGTTTCCTCTCCTCCTCTGTGTGTTTGGCTACAGAATAACAAGGTGCGGCGCTTTGCCTTTGAGCTAAAGATGCAGGACAAGAGCACGTACCTGCTGGCTGCAGACAGTGAGGGAGAGATGGAGGACTGGATCAGCACTCTCAACAAGATCCTCCACAGCAGCTTCGAGATCGCCATGCAGGAGAAGAGGAACGGGGACATCCACGATGGTGTTTGTGTGTGTCTGTCTGCGTGCATGCATGCTCGCTTGGGTTTTCAGAGTTCATGGGATGGGTGTTAATTACAGAGACATAGACCGGCATTAGATTTCCTTGTGAATTCTGTTAAAACATCATCCACCTTTCTTTCAACAAACCCCCAAGTACAAGGACAATGTGCTTCGTATAGTGCCAGTAATACAAAGAAAACATCCCAGGGTGCACTGCAGTACACTTGTCTGCCTGTGAGGGAAAGGAATGTGTAAATAAAGTGTACTTAGGCCTGTTCTACAGTCTATAGTCTACAGTATGCCATAGAGAAGAGGATGTCTTTGGCTTACACCCTTTAATCACACTCCCATGTACTAACCCTGTTTTAGGGTATTACATTTTTACATTTACATTTTAGTCATTTAGCAGATGCTCTTATCCAGAGCGACCTACAGGAGCAACTAGGGTTAAGTGCCTTGCTCAAGGGCACATTGACAGATTTCACCTAGTCAGCTCGGGGATTCGAATCCAGCAACCTTTCGGTTACTGGCCCAACCTCTTAACCGCTAGGCTACCTGCCGCCCACATTGATGGCATAAGCACCACACTGATTGAGTGTAGTTGGCTCAGAGTAGTTTAAAACTCATAAGAGGTAGATCAGGGAAGACAGAGATGACAGTGGTATAAATACATAAAGTAGTCAAAAAAGCAAAGTAGACTAGATCCTGTACAATCTAATGCACATCATTAGCATTCTTGTCTGTCAATGTGGCACACAATACCAGTCAATCTGAACTCAGTGTTTACGCCCACACATCCCCCAGACGTCTCCTTCTCCTGGTCTGTGGTGGTGGTGTAGCTGGAGGGCCACCCAGGTTTTTAATACTCACCTCCTGTCTGAGCCAGGAGGAAAAAGCCATGTCTGCACAAAGAACCCCGCTAATCTCAGTAACCTCTCAGCTTTGATTAATCACGCTCTCCTAGGGGAAAAACTACCCTGGTACCTACAGGGGCTCTAGGATCTGATCTCAGACCTGCTCTGTGTTTCTGTCTACTCAGGGCAGTCTAAGTCACTGTTTACTCTATTTAAGTGTTAGTAGTGTGCGATTAAGGAAGAGGTGTGGTAATGGAGTTCTAACCTATAAAATAGTGGATTTGTTGAACTGTGTGTTTGTTCTGTTTCCAATGAGTGCTCTGCTCTCTTTTCTGTTGCAGATGACGAGTTGGGAAAGGCAGACAGTTCGTTGGGGAGTATGGACAGCTTTCAGGTAGGTCCTGTCTTTTCACAAATGCGCTGCCTCAAGCGTAAGGATCCTACAGGCCCTGTTCACATGAGACATAATGTAGTTACATCATGAAATCACTTCACCATGGGAGGTAGGGAGCAGCCAGTCAGTCAGGCCTCTCAGAGGCCTCTGCTTGTGTTTAGATACACACCTCATTTTAAAAAATGATTCTCTATCTATAGTTAGACATACACAGACAGATGACAGCTCCCGCTGTTTGAAAAGTGACCAAATCAGGAGAGGAACCAAAATTGAATCATTTCCTATAGAGAAAAGCTACAGTATGTCAGCCCTGAAGAACAGTCGGCCTATAGATAAGCCATACATTATGTGCATGGAAACTGATGGTAGCAGTTAGCTAGCAAAGGAGAAGTCTGACAGAGTTCTTGACAGACTTTTCTGTGGTGTTGGCACCACCTGACTTTACCATTGAGTCTGCTCTCCTGATCGGCACGTAATGGGAAACCTCAACTCCAGATGGACACAAATGAAGAGACATTTTCAAATGATAAAAGCAGTTCAATTTGAAAACCTTTTGCTTAAGGAGGTCTAATTTTCTTGTCCTCAGAGTGCAAGAGATATTGAATCTAAAATGAGGAACGAGACCAGATTGAAACTGTTCACCTTGGACCCTGACACACAGGTTAGTAACTATCGAGTTTCCCAAAAGGTATTTGACAATCCACCAGCTCCAAATGATGATTCAAAATCCCTTTTTGTATCTTTAGAAACTTGACTTCTCAGGGATTGAGCCTGATATAAAGCAGTTTGAGGAGAAGTTTGGCAAGCGCATTTTGGTGAATTGCAATGACCTGGCCTTCAACCTGCAAAGCTGTGTAGCGGAGAACGAGCTGGGACCAACAACAAACGTAAGCCAGATGTCCTTTTCAGTGTTCAATTTGTACAGTCAGTGTGTTATCATCGTAGTGTACAGTATCTGCTCTGGAGAATGGATTAGAGAGCGAAAGAGCGGGGTGGAGGGATCACATCTCTAGCCTATGTCATCATTGCTGTTTGTCTTTGTCAAGAGGGAGTACTGGGTTGGCATAGTAACCAGCCGACAGCCACAGTAATGAAGGAAGGCGCTGTCTAATGAAAGGCAGTTTCCTGCTGACGCTCACAGCAGGCTGTCCTGTACCGAGAGAATGTCAACCTGTTCAGAGATACAGACCTGACAGATACAGAGATGCAGACCTGACAGATACAGAGATGCAGACCTGACAGATACAGAGATGCAGACCTGACAGATACAGAGATGCAGACCTGACAGATACAGACCTGACAGATGCAGACCTGACAGATACAGACCTGACAGATACAGACCTGACAGATACAGACCTGACAGATACAGAGATACAGACCTGACAGATACAGAGATACAGACCTGACAGATACAGAGATACAGACCTGACAGATACAGACCTGACAGATACAGAGATACAGACCTGACAGATACAGAGATACAGACCTGACAGATACAGAGATACAGAAACTTGGCATAATGACACTGTCAGTCAGTCCCTTGTTCTACTCATGAACCTTCTGGCTCACTATGTCATCACAGTACTCATCTATAAATAGCATAGCCTAGAATGGAAGTTCTTTCTCATACTCTACCTTTGTTTACACTTTCGCTTCATTTCCAGGTGGAGCCATTCTATGTGACCCTGTCGCTGTTCGACATCCAGAACAGCAGGAAGATCTCGTCAGACTTCTACGTGGACCTGAATCACCCGTCCGTCAGACAGCTGGTGCCCAACCCCAGCAGCCAGTACATGAACGGGGGAGGGGACGCTCTGCCGGGGGCGCAGAGGGGGGTCCACGGCCTGCCTGAGGGGGCCATGCAGTACCCCAGACAGGTGAAGAGATATTAGAGATACTAATCTCTATATAATCTTTTGAGCTATTAATCTCTCAATATGACGCTACCGTTCAAAAGTTTGGGGTCACTTAGAAATGTCCTTGTTTTCGAAAGAAAAGCAATTTTCTTGTCCATTAAAATAACATGAAATTGATCAGAAATACAGTGTAGACCAGGGGTGTCAAACTCATTTTAGCTCAGGGGCCACATGGAGGAAAATCTATTCCCAAGTGGGCCGGACCGGAAAAATCATGGTATATATAACTTAAAAACAACAACTTCAGATTGTTTTCTTTGTTTTAATACGATCAACATAAAGCTGGAGCCTGAGGACAGTGTGTCCAAAATAGTACAAGCACAACATCACTATTAATCATAAAACACATCAAGTTTATTTGAAAATTCTAAAGAAAAAGAACACACAAACACACAATGCCTCAGTGATTAACAGAACTGTTTCACAGATCACAGAACTATATCAGGGTGTCATTTCTCAGGCAGAAATGTAGATAAAAATAATGAAATCCTGTTCCCCAAACAAGTGCAAGAACCACAGAGTCAAGAATAGGTTAAATATACAAATACAATAAAATCAATTAAAAACAATAGCACATCAACATAAAAACATATAAACATAAATCTGAAAGCGTTGCTCAAACTCCCGTAACAGTCCCGTTATTTTATCTTTGAACCGCTTCATGTCTGCCACATGTTGGGTCGCGCACACATTTTTCAGACAGGGGAAGTGAGCTGCATCACCACCGGCAAGTTGCGTCTCCCACAATGACAGCTTCAACTTGAAAGAACGTATGCTGTCATAATACTGCGTGACAACTTTGTTGCTCCCTTGCAGCTGTTTGTTCAAGTTATTCAGGTGCTCTGTAACATCCACCATAAATGCAAGGTCCTGCATCCATTCTGCGGAATGAAATTCTAACACTGGTTTGCCCTTTTCTTCCATGAACTGTTCAATTTCTTCTCGTAAATCAAAGAAACGCCTCAGCACAGCACCTCGGCTTAACCATCTTACCTCAGTGTGGTATGGCAGGCCATAGATGTGGTCTTTCTCTCTGAGAAGGCTGTCAAACTGACGGTGATTCAGGCTTCTGGATCGGATGAAATTAACAGTTTGGATGACCACCTTCATGACGTTATCCATCTTTAATGACTTGCAACACAAAGCCTCCTGGTGCAAAATACAGTGAAAAGTCATAAAATCACGTCCTCCATTTGCAGATTGCACTTTCTCTCTGAACTTTGTCACAACGCCTGCTTTTTTCCCGATCATTGAGGGCGCACCATCTGTAGCCAGGCTGACAGCGCGGGACCAGTCCACTCCGACCCTGTCCAGCGCGCCGACGAGTGCGGTAAAAATATCAGCTGCTGTCGTTGTATCTGTCATCGGCACCAACTCCACGAACTCCTCGGTGACGGTCAATGTGTCATCAACTCCGCGGATGAAAATGGCCAGTTGTGCAACATCTGTAATGTCCGTGCTTTCATCAATTGCAACCGAAAACGCAATAAATGACTTTACTTTTTGCTTCAACTGGCTGTCCAAATCCACTGAAAGATCGGAAATCCTGTCTGCAACTGTGTTTCTTGTCAGGCTGACATTTGCAAAAGCCTGCCGCTTTTCAGGGCACACAATCTCCGCTGCCTTCATCATGCATGTTTTTACAAATTCACCCTCACTAAATGGTTTTGAAGCCACTGCGATTTCATTAGCAATGAGGTAGCTAGCTTTCACTGCAGCGTCACTGATGTCTCGGCTGTGAGTAAACACAGACTGCTGTTTCTTCAGACCCGCCAACAGTTCATTCACCTTCTCTCATCTCCGCTGTCCTTGAAAGTTGTCATATTTGTCGGCATGAAGACTCACATAGTGGCGACGAAGGTTATATTCTTTCAGCACTGCAACATGCTCTGAACACACCAAACATACAGCTTTCCCATTCAATTCCGTGAATAAATAGGATGACCATTTTTCTTGGAACACTCTGCACTCTGCGTCCACTTTTCTCTTTTTTGACAGAGACATATTGGGGCAATGAGGGTGCCAAAGCACATAATGTTAAAAGTAGAAGCCGTAATAAATATCGCGGGCAAAACAAAGTAGCTCATTGGCTGCACGTGCTTGACCTACTTGCTCTGCCCCGGTATAAACAGTTTGCTTGCTTAACACAATTGCTATTGCGCCATCCAGTGGACGCCATCCAGTGGATCCACTAATCTTTCTATTCTGGTTAGAGACAGTTTGCGCTGTTCTGTGAAGGGAGTAGTACACAGCGTTGTACGAGATCTTCAGTTTCTTGGCAATTTCTCTCATGGAATAGCCTTAATTTCTCAGAACAATAATAGACTGACGAGTTTCAGAAGAAAGTTCTTTGTTTCTGGCCATTTTGAGCCTGTAATCGAACCCACAATTGCTGATGCTCCAGATACTCAACTAGTTTCAAGAAGGCCAGTTTTATTGCTTCTTTAATCAGCACAACAGTTTTCAGCTGTGCTAACATAATTGCAAAAGGGTTTTCTAATGATCAATTAGCCTTTTAAAATGATAAACTTGGATTAGCAAACACAACGTGCAGTTGGAACACTGGACTGATGGTTGATGATAATGGGCCTCTGTACGCCTATGTAGATATTCCATTAACAATCAGCCGTTTCCAGCTACAATAGCCATCTACAACATTAACTATGTTTACACTAGGGCTGCACGATATATCGTTTCAGCATCGACATTGCGATATATCAGTCTACAATATATATATTTTTAAAATGTTAAACTAGCATTATATCTGTCTGATATAACGTAATTTACTCCGATTTATGGGTTATTGGATACACAGTTTATTATTATTATTATTATTATTATGTTAAACACGGAGTACGTTGCTGCACGTGGTTGACATGCAGGCTCTGCTTGCGCGTGACGAAATGATGAGCGAGGAACAGACAAAAAAGACCAAAATGGAGAATTTGGTTGCAAAAATAAATGCATCGTCAATTATATGGAAATATTTCGGCTAGAGACAGGATGATGTTGACCAAAAACAGGTACTTTTTCGAGAGTGCCTTGCAATTGTTGCCACAACACGAGGCAACACAACCAATTTGTTCGATCATTTAAGGCGGCACCACAAATCTTCGTATGACGAGTGCAAAGCATCTCAATGCCCTCCAAAGCAAAAATCTATTTCGGATGCCTTTGCCAGTATTACACCATACGAGAAAGGTTCCAAACGGCAGAGAGAAATCACAGATTCAATAACATTTCACGTCTCCAAAGACATGGTACCAATTAACACGGTTACCAAAGAGGGTTTTAAAAACATGATCCGGTCGCTTGACAAGCGGTATGTAATGCCATCACGCAACTATTTTTCTCAAGTTGCCATCCCAGAGTTGTACGAGAAATGCAAGGCACAAGTTGAAACAGAGCTGTCACAGAGCTGTCACAAGTGGGATATTATACAGCAACAACGGACTTGTGGTCCAGCCGGACAACGGAGCCCTACATAAGTCTGACCATACACTTTATTAATGAGGACTTCCACCTGAAAAGTCGCTGTTTGCAAACTGTATTTTTCCCAGAGGATCATACATACATACATCCTGTATTTTCTCATATCGCAATATATATCGCAGAAAACCAAAATATCGCAATGTCAGTTATTTCCAATATCGTGCAACCCTAGTTTACACTGTGTTTTCAATCAATTTGATGTTATTTTAATGGGAGAAAAAATTTGCTTTTCTTTTGAAAACAAGGACATTTCTAAGTGACCCCAAACTTTTGAATGGTAGTGTACCTGTATGGGTTTAGGTCTGCGTATTGCATGTTTTTAATGGTGTGGGGATGTTTTTGTCTGACTAGCATTCACTGTGTACAGCCAATAAACTGGAGAACCTTTTAAAAATTGCAATGGACAATAAAGGTTTTCGAGGTTCACTCATATCTGTTATGACTTTGTTTTCTCTCTCCACAGGGAGTGTTCTCTGTAACTTGTCCACACCCAGATATCTTCCTGGTGGCTCGCATTGAGAAGGTCCTCCAGGGGGGAATCACCCACTGTGCTGAGCCCTACATGAAGAGCTCAGACTCCACCAAGGTACGCTCTGTACCAGGCATCAGAAAACACTAAACGATGAATTCCCCCACGCTCAGCAAATTTCATTAGATTATTCCACATAATAAATGATAGAATCATCCATGTCATAAATGCTGGCTGGTTACAACAACACTCCACAAGCATTGGTTTTGGCTGTACAAATCTGGTTATGCTCTGTAAAAGGGGTACAACGAGCAGTAATGGGATCCGAGAGAGAAAATCTGAAATGCATTAGGGACCATTTTCAAGGTGTGTGTGCATGCTTGCGCATGTGTTTGTGTGCGTATGTGTTTGTGTTTGTGTGTGTGTGTGTGTGCGTGTGTGTTTGTGGAGATTGGCAGGCCTCAGAGCTAACGCAATAGGATATGCTGGAGTGCTGACCATGACCTCTGTCTGTGTTGTCAGACCAGCGTGGTTTCACTTACACACTGTTCCTCTTTCCCACCAGGTGGCACAGAAGGTCCTGAAAAATGCCAAATTGGCCTGCAGCCGGTTGGGCCAGTACAGGATGCCTTTTGCATGGGCCGCCAGGTACTATTCGGTTACTAAACTAAACTGAACTGAACTGATGTTTAAAGTAAGAGATTATTGAAAGATGCTTTACCTTTTGGAACATATTTTAATCAGTAGAGAAACTGGACAATATGTAAGCAACGTCTACTGAATATGGCATCGCTTTGAAAGGATAGAGTACAAGATATCTAGATTCAATGAAAAGAACATCTAGTTTATTCCCAGGCACAATAAAGGTAGTGAATTTGTCTGTTTTTCCCTTTTTTGGCACTGGTAAATGTATCACTCTTCAATGAGTTGTGGAAACAGCTCAGTACCCATGGTGTCTGGAAAGAGAATAAAGGTGTCACAGGATACCCAGACCAGTGGAAAAAACCCTGACAGGAACATCAGCAGATCTTTGTCCAGAAACCTATTGGAAACAGACCTGGGTTTTTATGATTCTCATCTCTCCTTCCCTGCAGGCCTCTGTTCAAAGATGCATCGGGGACGCTGGATAAAAGTGCTCGTTTCTCCGCCATCTACAGACAGGACAGCAACAAGCTGTCCAATGACGACATGTTCAAACTGCTGGCTGACTTCAGAAAGTTAGTAACTCTCCTACTGCCTGCAGTTGATGGAATTCAAATTGAGTTAATTGTTGAAGTACTATATCTTACATACATTTTGAATTTTGATTATTCTTGCTTATTCTGAATGATTAGAGTGTTATAACAGTGGGTATTTCTTAAGCTAAATCCCATAGAGAGGTTTGTTGGCTAAAGAGACTAGATGGAGAGGGATTCTCTTTCACAATGAAAGCCTGTACCGCAGATGTTTTCTCACCTTTACAAATATTTGGTTCTCGTCTTTGGTTCTGTCTGTTCACAGGGTAGTTTCCAGGCGGCTTGCCTGTTTTCCATCAGGTCCTCCTAGGTAGATGATAACAAAGGCATTAACCGCTACTTATTTTGCTTGTCCTCCCTAGGCCAGAGAAGATGGCCAAGCTCCCTGTAATCTTAGGAAACCTAGACGTTACCATTGACAATGTTGCCCCTGACTTGACAAGTAAGCCCTCCAAATTCAACTCACACTGGGAACATGAAAGATGAAAGCTGTTTCTCTTCACATCAGATTGGTCTGATTGTCTGTCGGCTATTTATTTGGTTTCCCCCCGTCTGTTCTGTGTCTGCGTGTAGATTGTGTTACCTCATCCTACATTCCTGTGAAGACTTTTGAGAGCAGTGAGAAGACGAACATCTTCTTTGAAGTGGAGGAGTTTGTTCCCTGCATAGCCAAGTGCTCCCAGCCGTTCACCATCTACAACAATCACCTCTACGTCTACCCCAGGCATCTGAAGTACGACAGCCAAAAATCCTTCACAAAGGTATAGTCACAAACATTGAGCCTACATTTCTGTTTGATCAAATTATGTATACTGTACATTTACATCAATTTCAGATCATGAATCAATCTGTACACTGATGTGGTAAACTCAGATGTTTACTATTACATTTCATATGACTGCATAGTAGTGGTAAGGTACTTGTAACTTGTCCAACTTTCTCTAACTGAGAGAGAAACTTTGCTCTAAAACAGTACTGCAGAAATGTATTTCCTCCAGCATTTTCAAGTAGGTCAGCTTTGTTCTGTCTGTCTACTCTCTCTCTCTCTCTCCTCAGGCTAGAAACATAGCTGTCTGCATTGAGTTCAAGGATTCGGATGAGGAGGATGCTGTTTCGCTCAAGGTATGCTCCTAGTCATATGACTCCTTCTGGCAGAGTTCCTGGAGCCACAGTGCCATTTAGTAGCAGAGGAGCGGCATACTACTCAGGGGAGTAAACTTACTGTTGTTATTACCCACAGTGCATCTATGGTCGACCAGGAGGACCCCTGTTTACCAAAAATGCATTTGCTGCAGTATTACATCACCAGCATAGCCCAGAGTTTTATGATGAGGTACGTTGTTATAACAAGCCAACCTGGCCATCCTTATACAGGCAGCTCCAGTCATGATTAGTGAGCAGATGAAGCAGTGGCAGCATGTATGTTTGCTAACTCTTAGGGTGTATGTTTTTTTCCTGTCCCTCAGTTTAAGATAGAGCTGCCCACCCAGCTAAATGAGAAGCACCATCTGCTGTTCACCTTCTTCCACGTCAGCTGTGACAGCAACAGCAAGGCCAGTACCAAGAAGAGAGATGTGGTGGAGACACAAGGTAGACACCAGACCCAGGATTAGGGTTGCAAAATTCTAGGAATTTTCAATAAATTCCCTGTTTTTTCTGAAATCCAGGTTGGAGGATTCCAGATTTCCTACTTATTCCCTATTGATTTTAGGCAATCCACCAACCGGGACCGAAATGTAAAGTTCCCCGAATTTTGCAATCCTACCCAGGATACAGCCGTCAAGACCTAGATCCAGTGTTAAGCCATGCAAATGAATTGTATCCACCCTGTTTCTCTCCATTGCTCCCCCCAGTATAAGGATTTGTGTCTGTGTCTGTTTCCATTCTTCCCGATTCTCCCAGAGCTGAGTCACTGTTCTGTAACCATCGAGATCCTAGTCAATTAATTACTATTCTAATTCCTAATTCTATGGGTGTGACACTATCTGTGAGCAGACTGACAGTTCTGTCTCTTGTCCTTGTCTGTCCCCAGTCGGTTACGCCTGGCTGCCTCTGCTGAAGGATGGCAGGGTGATCATGAATGAGAGTCACGTCCCCGTGGCTGCCAACCTGACCGCTGGCTACCTCAGCTGTCAGGAGGGTGTCAGCAAGGTAGTGCTCCCTTCACTCCCACAAACACACACACACACATACACTGTGGCTTCCTTTTCCCTTTCCGAGGCTCCTTTCCTTCATCACCACAAAACTGAAAGAACATAATGGGTTTAAAGCTATTGGATTTAAACCTATCCAGTCATTTTAGATCAGTAAAATCTAACCTATTTTGGCCGTGAAAGAAAGTAGAGGCGTGAGCCACAGACTTAACCTTTGTGTGTAGTGCCCTGCCTGTAAATTAGAGTTGGCACTGTGGGGATTGCTTGTTGTCTTCCTCAAGGTTGTGTGAGATGTAATTATCTGAGCCAATCAGGGAAGGTGAAAGCGTACAACAGTGTGACCAAACAATATTAAGCTAATTGCATGGGAAAATATGGCTGAATGAATTACTGATGATGGGAGTTTCAACTTAATGTTGAGCTTTAGATCTGTTCTCAGCATTGTTTTGGATCAACCTACAGTAAACTAAATGCCTTTCATTTTGTATACGTTTCTGCAAATACCTCCCCTAACAAGCAACGTTTGAAATGTGTTCTACCTTCTTGTGGCTTTGAGTCAGTGACTTTTATCACAGAGTGAAATTTTAAATACATAACCAATACATGTTGCGTGATCCAATACATAACCTTTTGTAGTATGATAACCACTGACTTTGTTTTTATGATTAAAATATGTCCTATGTCTCACGCAGCAGCATCCTGAAATCAAATGGGTGGATGGAGGCAAGCCTTTGTTCAAGGTGTCCACTCACCTTGTCTCCACCGTGTATACTCAGGTTGGTTTCAGTTCACAGATTAGTTCAGTGACACAACTGACCCAGGATTCTTTAATGCATGTTCTCCATAGTCTTTCCTAGAAATCGTGTGTTCTAACATCTCAACCTTTTCTTTCCTCTGTAGGATCAACATTTGCACAATTTCTTTGCCCACTGTCAGAGCACAGAGTCTGCAGCTCAGGTGGCGGGAGGAGAGCTGGTCAAGTATCTGAAGGTAAAGCAGCAACTGTGGCACCTCTGGGCATTACCAGTATGTGTGGAGACATGTCTGACTGACTGGGGTCTGAAAGAAATGACACCTGTCACATCTCTCTCTTTTTCTCCCCTCTCTCCCCAACACCTGTCACCCATCATTCTGATTTCCTCAGGATGTTTAGAAATCGGTGCTTGTTTACTCAGGCCTGGGTGGGACAATGCTAACATAACCCTAACTCTAATCCACGGGCGCTCTCTCCATTGTCCCCCTGTGGACATTGACATTTTCAGATGTATCTCTGGGGTGCTCAAGTAAACACACTAGTCCACAGCACACAAACAATGGCAAGAGGGTCACACAAGGTCAGGAGTTAGCAGAGAGCGTTTCACTGGCAGGTTGCCAAAAGATTTGGCTGGCCTTGGCTGTGTTAGCGGCCCGTGCAGATGTAGGCTCTTAATTTGATCACCCTGTTGCAGGGGAACCTTCCTGGAAACACTTGTAGTGTATTTGAGGTTTAAAAAGGTTTCTGAAGTTTGTAATTTCCACTTTTAAATTTTGTATCAACCCCTACAAAAATGTCCATTAATTATAATCCACATATTTCACAGTTCCTTTTGCCGCAGGATTATTTTCCTGCTGTAGCAAACTGGCTCAAATGAAGATCCTACATAGCCAGTGATGCACCACTGCCCAGCTCTGCCTCATTACAGGATCTAACTAATAGACGTGTGTGATTTAACACATGCTTATTCTCAGGTGTGTCCTGTTATTCTTTGCGACTTCCGTTTCCTCTTACGCAAGCTTGTGTTTGGTTCTTTCGGATGTGGGATGCAACTTTCACCCCCTCATAGACTCAGAGACTGATTAGAGCCAGGATGGGAGGAAATGTTTATAGTACGCCACCAAGCATTTAGATTGAAGCTGATTTTTGTTCTCATGTAGCCTTGTTTTATCTCGTTTTTATCTAGTTTTAACATAAGTTAATTCTGTTCGTGCAGTTAACCCTGTCTAGACCTTTGATGTGCTTGTGGATGATATTCTGCAGGTTCAGCCTTTTGGCTGGGAGGGGAGCACAGAAAAACACAATGCCTTCAGCATCTTATTAACTGCATTCTCCCCCCCCCCCCCCCCCCCAGAGTCTTCATGCTATGGAAAGTCACGTGATGGTTAAGTTCCTGCCCACCACTCTCAACCAGCTGTTCCGGGTGTTGACAATTGCCACCCTTGAGGAGGTGGTCGTCAACGTCACCAGGTCAGTAGTCTGGGTCCCAAATGGCACCCTATTCCCTATGTAGTGCAATACTTTTGACTAGGGCCCATAGGGAAACTATATGGGGAATAGGCTGCCATTTTGGACGCAGCCATAGACATGGTACACTGGGTTCACTATTTGAAGCCTGAGTATTGAGACACAAACCACAGACATGTTATTATTGCATGCACAACTCTTACACATGCTTTTTGCCCCATTCAGAGTCATGATTCACATTGTTGCCCAGTGCCACGAAGAGGGGTTGGAACACTATCTACGATCATATGTCAAGGTAAGCAAGATACCGGTCGATTTTATCATATGGCACATTTTCTTATGCTGTGTTTATAGAAAAGCTGATGTTGTTTTTGTCCCTTTCCTGGTTCAGTATGTGTTTAAGACCGAGCCATACACAGCAACCACCACAAGAACAGTGCATGAGGAGCTGGCCAAAGCTATGACTGCAATTCTAAAGCCTTCCACAGACTTCCTCACCAGCAACAAGCTGCTCAAGGTAATAGATAGCACAGCATTAGTGTGGAAAAGGATGCTATTGACATTTACATCATGTTTCATGTTTGCATTGATTTGTATTTGTTTCCGTATTTCTGTTTTGTAGTACTCCTGGTATTTCTTCGAAGCCTTAGTAAAGTCCATGGCCCAATACTTGATTGAGAGCAGTAAAGTCAAGGTAAGTCTGATGTGACACTTTACTAAGCCAACTAAGTCTTCATTTTTCTTTTATAGAAATGTCAGCTTATCAGTGACAGCTCCGAACATGCACAGCCATGTGGGCTGCCACAGAATAAAGCACAGCCATGTCTCATAACTAACCATCGCCTCAATGCTATCCACAGCAATCTCCCCTAATCAACCATAGCCCTGAGTTTCCTCTCTGGCATGGCCGTGTATAATCAGGAAGCTGCTGTAGGAACCATTAGGAGTGTGCCACACTAAACAGAGGAAACAGGGAGACTCCGTTAAGGGTTCTCCCTCTGCTGTGGTTTTGTGGTGGTTCACTGGGATGGCCTCTCTCTGGGAATAGCTGTGGTGGGATCAGAAACACAACAGCAAGTTGTTTTTGGAAGTGTGTCACTCCTCAAGGACCACATTGGAAATTAAAGTGTTGTATATGACTTTCATGTGTTAGCCTCTGGGCCCTACTGTAATCCTAACCTAAAAAGTAATTAAATCAAATCAAAAATTGACAGTAACACCACGGACTGTAACACCACGGACTGTAACACCACGGACAGTAACAGCATTGACAGTAACACCACGGACAGTAACACCACTCACAGTAACACCACTCACAGTAACAGCATTGACAGTAACACCACAGACTGTAACACCACGGACTGTAACACCACGGACAGTAACACCATGACAGTAACACCACGGACAGTAACACCACGGACTGTAACACCACGGACTGTAACACCACTCACAGTAACAGCATTGACAGTAACACCACGGACAGTAACACCATTCACAGTAACAGCATTAACAGTAACACCACGGACTGTAACACCACGGACTGTAACACCACGGACTGTAACACCACGGACAGTAACACCACTCACAGTAACTGCATTGACAGTAACACCACGGACAGTAACACCACTCACAGTAACAGCATTGACAGTAACACCACGGACTGTAACACCACGGACTGTAACACCACGGACAGTAACACCACTCACAGTAACACCACGGACAGTAACACCACGGACTGTAACACCACGGACTGTAACACCACGGACTGTAACACCACGGACTGTAACACCACTCACAGTAACAGCATTGACAGTAACACCACGGACAGTAACACCATTCACAGTAACAGCATTGACAGTAACACCACGGACTGTAACACCACGGACTGTAACACCACGGACTGTAACACCACGGACTGTAACACCACAGACAGTAACACCACTCACAGTAACACCACGGACAGTAACACCACGGACAGTAACACCACTCACAGTAACACCACGGACTGTAACACCACGGACTGTAACACCACGGACTGTAACACCACGGACAGTAACACCACGGACGGTAACACCACGGACTGTAACACCACTCACAGTAACAGCATTGACAGTAACACCACGGACTGTAACACCACGGACTGTAACACCACGGACTAACATCACGGACAGTAACACCACTCACAGTAACAGCATTGACAGTAACACCATGGACAGTAACATCACGGACAGTAACACCACTCACAGTAACAGCATTGACAGTAACACCATTGACAGTAACACCACAGACAGTAACACCACGGACAGTAATAGCATTGACAGTAACACCACTCACAGTAACACCACGGACAGTAACACCACTCACAGTAACAGCATTGACAGTAACACCACGGACTGTAACACCACGGACTGTAACACCACGGACAGTAACACCACTCACAGTAACAGCATTGACAGTAACACCACGGACAGTAACACCACTCACAGTAACACCACGGACTGTAACACCACGGACTGTAACACCACGGACAGTAACACCACTCACAGTAACAGCATTGACAGTAACACCACGGACTGTAACACCACGGACTGTAACACCACTCACAGTAACAGCATTGACAGTAACACCATTGACAGTAACACCACAGACAGTAACACCACGGACAGTAATAGCATTGACAGTAACACCACGGACTGTAACACCACGGACAGTAACACCACTCACAGTAACACCACGGACAGTAACACCACTCACAGTAACAGCATTGACAGTAACACCACGGACTGTAACACCACGGACAGTAACACCACTCACAGTAACAGCATTGACAGTAACACCACGGACAGTAACACCACTCACAGTAACACCACGGACTGTAACACCACGGACAGTAACACCACTCACAGTAACAGCATTGACAGTAACACCACGGACAGTAAACACCACTCACAGTAACAGCTCTGGCGGTAACAGCTTGTCTCTGTTTCTCAGCTGTCCAGGAACCAGCGTTTCTCGGCCGGCTTCCACCACACGGTGGAAACCCTGGTCAACATGATGATGCCCCACATCACCCAGAAGTACAAGGACAACCTGGACGCAGCCCGGAACGCCAACCACAGCCTGGCTGTCTTCATCAAGGTCAGCTGGCGCCATCTGATTGGCTAGTCTGGCACCGTTGGTCCTCCTTGTAGTCGGTTCGGGATTAAAACAATGTATTGGTGTTCAATAGAGGTTGATGATATCCACTGTTCTGTACTCTACTGAGCTGTATGTGGAAATGTCATTTCCTTCCTGTGTCCACAGCGCTGTTTCACCCTCATGGACAGAGGCTTTGTCTTCAAACAGATCAACAACTACATCAACTGCTTTGTGCCTGGAGACCCCAAGGTAGTTATCATGATGATTATTTACAATGTCATTACAATGATAGTCATATTTCCACTACTATACCTTTGTTTCTTACACTAATGTGCTCTTCTTTTCAGACTCTGTTTGAGTTCAAGTTTGAGTTCCTGCGTGTCATATGCAACCACGAGCACTACATCCCCTTGAATCTGCCCATGCCTTTTGGAAAGGGGAGGATACAGAGATTTCAAGGTGAGCACATTTCCATCATTTGGTCAAAATAAAAGCGACTGTATGAAGGTATACCAGGGTCATATGAGGTACTTCTATTGAACTAGAAGCACAATGCTGTTGTAATATGAAGTTTTGAAAGCTGTCTGCCAAAGTCAAAGGCTCTTGTCCTTTTTTATATAGAGTGTTTTAGCAGATAGTGGATTAAATCGTTTCTCCAGCAGTATCTCATCAAACTCAAGTACAGTACCTGTACTGTCCAAGTTCTGATAGACCACAGTCAGCCAAATGTCATAAAGACATGTTACAGTATATAATGTACTGTTCTCTCTGTATTCCTGCTATCTCTGTTTTGAATAGATCTTATTTGTTTGTTTCCATCTTGTTCCTCTTCTCTCTTTTGCCAATTAGCTTTACTTTCTCCCAACATGGAGTCATACAATACTCCTGTAGGTAGGTTCAAGGTGTGCTGCTTGCTTGTCCTGTCAGAAAAAAAATACTTTGATCCAACCCTTTAATGATGGCCACATGGGCAAAATAATCCCCTTGAACAACTCAATTCAATCATTCATTCAACAGCATCATTGCATACACTTGGTGTGGATGTGGAATTATTCATTTGTCTCTCCCATGTCTAATACTAAATGATCACAATGTTTATGATTTATCTCCATCTATAACTGTAATTGGCTGTAGTGAGTGAGTGAGTGAGTGAGAAAAGGTATGGGTGTGTGTGTAGGTTTTTATTCTTTGTACTACAAAGCGTTCTTATTTCTTTGTCAAGGGTATGGATTGTGCGACTATATAAATAGGTTTGTCCTTGAGGGCTAAATCTTTTTCTCCTATATATTTTTTTCAATTTAAAGTAACATTGCGGAGGTGTTTACATTTAAAATGTGCATGTAAACCAATTACAGCTTATATTGAGGCTAACAGTGAAATTTGATCACCACCATTTCAGTACACCTTCTGTGTCACTTGTGATTTGATTTCACTTGTGCCTCATGCTCTGTGAAGCTCTATCAGTTTATTTGCCAGTCTGTTACCCATATAAACCACCCTGCTTGCTAACGGAATCTGTTCATTCACTGCATGGTCCCTGACTCCTCTAGCCTCATAATTACCAGACAAATGGCCGATCTGTGTAGCGAAACAGAATGTAAGCTTGTGAGCCTTCCGGATGGTTGTACGAGGTTACGACTCCTGTCTGGTTGTCTATTTTGACTGGTAATCTCTGTTATACACTACCAGTCAAAGGTTTGGACACACCTACTCATTCAAGGGTTTTTCTTTTTTTTTTTTATGTTGACTTTGTAAAATAATAGTGAAGACATCAAAACTATGAAATAACACATATGGAATCATGTAGTAACTAAAAAAGTGTTAATCAAATGAAAATATATTTTGTTTTTGAGATTCTTCAAATAGCCACCCTTTGCCTTGATGACAGCTTTGCACACTCTTGGCATTCTCTCAACCAGCTTCATGAGGTAGTCACCTGGAATGCATTACAATTAACTGGTGTGCCTTCTTAAAAGTTAATTTGTGGAATTTATTTCCTTCTTAATGCGTTTGAGCCAATCAGTTGTTTTGTGACAAGGTAGGTGGGGTATACAGAATATCGCCCTATTTGGTAAAAGACCAAGTCCATATTATGGCAAGAGCAGCTCAAATAAGCAAAGAGAAACGACAGTCCATCATTACTTTAAGACATGAAGGTCAGTCAATACTGAAAATGTCAAGAACTTTAAAAGTTTGCAAAAACCATCAAGCGCTATGATGAACTGGCTCTCATGAGGACCACCACAGGAATGGAAGACCTGCTGCAGAGGATACATTCATTAGAGTTACCAGCCTCAGAAATTGCAGCCCAAATAAATGCTTCACAGAGTTCAAGTAACAAACACATCTCAACATCAACTGTTCAGAGGGGACTGTGTGAATCAGGCCTTCATGGTCGAATTGCTGCAGAGAAACCACTACTAATGGACACCAATAAGAAGAAGAGACCTGCTTGGGCCAAGACACGAGCAATGGACATTAGGCCGGTGGAAATGTGTCCTTTGGTCTGGAGTCCAAATTGGCGATTTTCGGTTCAAACCGCCGCATCTTTGTGAGTCTAGGTGTGGGTGAAAGGATGATCTCCGCATGTGTAGTTCCTACCGTAAAGCATGGAGGAGGAGGTGTTATGGTGTGGGGGTGCTTTGCTGGTGACACTGTCTGTGATTTATTTAGAATTCAAGGCACACTTAACCAGCATGGCTACCACAGCATTCTGCAGTGATACGCCATCCCATCTGGTTTGGGCATAGTGGGACTATCATTTGTTTTTCAACAGGACAATGACCCAACACACCTCCAGGCTGTGTAAGGGCTATTTTACCAAGAAGGAGAGTGATGGAGTGCTGCATCAAATGACCTGGCCTCCACAATCCCCCGACCTCAACCCAATTGAGATGGTTTGGGATGAGTCGGATGGCAGAGTGAAGGAAAAGCAGCCAACAAGTGCTCAGCATATGTGGGAACTCCTTCAAGACTGTTGGAAATGCATTCCAGGTGAAGCTGGTTGAGAGAATGCAAAGCTGTCATCAAGGCAAATGGTGGCTATTTGAAGAATCTCAAATATAAAATATATTTTTATTTGTTTTTCACTTTTTTGGTTACTACATGATTCCATATGTGTTATTTCATAGTTTTGATGTCTTCACTATTATTCTACAATGTAAACAAAATAGTAAAAATAAAGAAAAACCCTTGAATGAGTAGGTGTGTTCAAACTTGGCTGGTACTGTATAAAAGTTATTGTAATAATTTCCAACCACTGTTCTTTGATTGTAGTTGTTGTGTATTTTTATTGTATTTTATCAAATCAATTATCATAAGTGATCATGAAAATGTAATCATATAGTAGCTCACTGTAACCAATATGTGTTATCCTATCCTTACGCAAATAGATTATCAGCATGTATTGGGGTTGTTTTGTTGTTGAAGGTTTGTTTGAATACTTTCTCTCGGTGGAATAGTTTCTCAGTGTTGGAAATAGTTTTGATTACAATCTACATTAGAGTTCAAGTGCAGTTGAACTTCATTCTGATGGCGCCAGTCTATTTAAGGTCAAAGGTCGGCTCAGTACTACAGTGGGGTTATTGTTTACATCAGAGCAGATAGTTTAGGTTCAGGACTTCCTCCTAAAGTCTGTCTCCTGTCTGTCCTCCTTCCAGACCTCCAGTTGGACTACTCGCTGACAGACGACTTCTGTAAGAACCACTTCCTTGTTGGGCTGCTGCTGCGGGAGGTTGGCGGGGCCCTGCAGGAGTTCCGAGAGATCCGTCAGATATCCATCCACGTGCTCAAGAACCTGATGGTCAAGCACACCTTTGACGATCGCTACACCTCCAAGGTAAGCAGCCTAATTATCCCCATGTCTTTCCTCTCTAGTCATTTCGAAATTCCTCATAAGGGGCAATGAAGTTTAATCAGAGCTTTATCTCTATTTCAGAGCCAGCAGGCTAGGTTGGCAACTCTCTACCTGCCCCTGTTCGGTCTACTCCAGGAGAACGTCAACAGGCTCAATGTGAAGGAAGTCTCCCCATTCACCATCAACCACTCCAACAATGTAAGGCTGACATCTAGTGGCTGGCTACCACCACAACGCAAAGCCCTACCTGTAAATGTTTTACTTTACTAATGGTCCTTTTTCCTTTCAGAATGGAAGAGATGACCCACTCATGGGCAACTCCATGATGATGACGCCTCCACGCTCCAGTACTTTGTTAGACAACAGTTTGCACAAGGATGTGTTTGGGGTCATCTCTGGCACCGGTGAGATTCAGTCTGCTTTTGGCAGGCAACGATATGACACTCGACTCATGTTGTCCCATGGCGATTGAGCGACATGCGGGCCTTGAGTTTAACTGTGCTGTTGTCTTTGTGTTCTCCAGCTTCCCCGCACGCGTCCTCCACCCCCAACATTAACTCTGTCCGCCACGCTGACTCCCGGGGCTCCCTCATCAGCACTGACTCTGGCAACAGTCTTCATGAGAAGAGCAACGATAAGACCAACTCTCTGGACAAGGTACATCTCCATGGAGTCATACTATAGCCACCGACATGGACCATTACTTAAAGATGATCATTTTTACTTTCACTTATTGAGGGTGTAGCCTATGCCTGGGGTATGTGTCCTACTAGCACATGGCATCCATCAGGATATCAGATCACTGCAGTGCTGTTAGTCCATTTGGGCTAGAAATAAATCTGTGTGGGTCAAGATGAGTTTAGCAGCTATTCAGTGAATGAGATTTAGGCCACATATTTAGTTGAGGATATTTCATGCATCATTTTCAGTATTTCTCACTGACACATAAGAGGTGCATCCATTATACCAGACAGTTATGAGGTTATTCCCTATTAACTTGTTGTTGTACCATTGGCTCCAACACCCACCCACACACTCCTGCTGCTGGCAGAAGGAGAATGTCAGGCGGAGACACTCTGCCAACGTGCTGCGCTTCTTTTCCGAGCCCGAGGACTCCATGCTTTCCATTCGCGCCAAGCGAGCCACCATGGACTTTTCCCTGCTCACTGTCCCCAGTGTCTCAGAGAATCATGTCCCGCATCACACCACCACTCCACTCCAAGTACAGAATACAAATTAACCTTCCTCCCAAGAGTGTCCCGTCTGGGAGTGTGTGAAAGTGTGTGTGTTTTAGTCTTTGCTGAGTTCCTTTCTTTGCCAGGCGGATGATACACAGTTTCGTCTCTGGTGCCATGAAGCACAGCTACTGCATGTCTTCATGGGGTTTTCTGTAGAAGTGATACACACAGCTGGAGTGTCTTGATTTCTGATCTCTCTCACGTGTGCTGTGTGACTCTTCTATCTCAGTCTGTAAGAGTTCTGAGGACCAGTCTCAGAACTCTAGTACAGAGTTTTGTGTAGAATATTCCCTTTCTTTGTGTTATGTTTCTGCCCATTTTTTTCAGTTTTCTTTATGAATGATACTCTAAGGAGACAGTTAGCCAGAAGGGGAAAGAAAGTCATTAATGTGTAATATCTGCTTAATTTTTAAGCTGTGGATGATACCCAATTTATAAATCTCTCTTAATAAAGAATTCATGCAAATGATCGCCTACCCTCTTCAGTCAAGTTCTTAGACTTATATGGGGCAGCTAAGTTTAGCCGCTAACTTTCTCTGTCAAAACTCCTCCACGAAAAGACATAGCTTCAGTCTTTCCATGAGGTCATCCTCAGTTAGGAGTTCTGGTCTAGACTAACTCACCGCTGGCAACGGAAGATGCTGTATTCCGCCAAACCCACGCTGTGGTAGAACTGCTGATTCCTGCTCCCTGCTCTCTACCGGCTTGGAGAATCCTAGTGATTAGGCCCTGCACTAGAGCTGATCTGGCAGTCTCACCCGTGTCTAGAGGCCAACAGGGCCTGAGTGACTGACTCCATTACTGTAGTAATACTGCACCGTGAGTCATACTGCTAGCCATTACAGTAGGCTTATCAGCACATCATATCACATTAATGCTAATGTATAGGAAGTAGATGTACTGAAGGGCAATTTAGCATTGCATAATCATGTCAATGATAAACTCTAGTGTTTTGCGCTGAGCATTCAATATTTTTCTACCCTTTTTTTGCCTTATAGAACATGCATGGATTGAGATAAGATGAAGAAGTAGACAACAACATGGCAAATATGTCTACAAAGACAGGAAATAGGACAAATACCACAAATCTCCCAATAGCATTATGCTGTGAATAGAGCAGTGCAACAGGCCAAATGTAGAGTGGTGTAGTGTATTCCAGCTGATCGCTGACCAGTGTGTCTGTCCCTCAGAACCAGCCAGCCTCAGCCCTGGGCAGCAGCCTACTGCGCTGTGACAAACTGGACCAGGCTGAGATCAAGAGCCTGCTCATGTGCTTCCTGCACGTCCTCAAGAGCATGTCTGAGGGTAAGACCACACCGCTCTCTAGTGCAAGTACATGATTCTATGTTGTTTTTTTTGGGGGGGGGGGTAGGATATGCTTAGTGAGCTGTGTTTTCCACAGCCAGTGGTTTCCCCAAGGCTGCATCCCACATGACACCCTATTCTCTATTTAGTGCACTGTTTTTGAGTGCTATTTGGGACGCAGCGCAGGTGACTCTCTCTAACTCCCTTCTATCCTTCTTTCAGATGCCTTGTTTACATACTGGAACAAGGCCTCATCTGCTGAGCTCATGGACTTCTTCACACTAGTAGAGTAAGAAGTCAACTCTTGGCTTGGCCGTGTTGTTATTGTCCTGATGCTACTCTATACCATTTACTATACATATCGGGTATGTTTTAAGCATTCTCTATGAGTAACAATGAGTCTCCAACGTTTTTGTTTCCAGGGTGTGTCTCCATCAATTCAGATACATAGGAAAAAGATCCATCGCAAGGTAATGTTGTTGTCAGAATGGTTCAATTAGTTGTATGGCGCTTTTATGTAATACCTGTATATGAGACTACATTCTTGATTTATTACACTTTCATAGATTTTATATATTTATATTATTGTGTATATAATTGTGTTGATTCAAATGTTGTTATGTTAATGTTGTGTGAATATTGTCCAAGCTATTTTAGGGACATTATATTATACTATTTTAAGGTATAGGAATGAATGTTGTTTTCTAGTAACACCTGAGACCAGAACACAACCAGTGACTGATATTTCTACTGATAGGTCCAAAACAGTACTAATGTGTGGTTTAGATTGTTGAGCTTTGTTAACATTGTGTGTAAAGTAAAGCCCCTGAAACACTACACCATATAAACACACCATACAGTACGCTCATAATTTGCCTTTGGACTCTGGCACACACTTTCTCTGTGGGAGCTCTGCGCCAGACAAACTGGTGGCTGTGGGTCTCACTCTCCACTCTCTCTAACCCACCACCACTCTCTCTGTTTTTCTATTCACTTAAATGCTGGCAAGTTTAATATAGTAAAAAAAAAAAACATGGCTCCTGCCCCCTCCTGCTTGGGTAAGACTAGAGGTGGAATTAACTCTCCTATACTAAAAGCATGTTGCCTTCTCTCTTTTCTGATTGACCATCTTATAACAGCACACAACTGATTGGGCATGTAATAGCACCACAAAACTCTACCCTGACATAATCTTCACAGTATAGTGTGTCTCTCTCATTGTTATGTGCATGCGCTGGCTTCTGCTGCTACTAACTGCTGTAATGCTGATGTGGCACTGTCTGATACATTGCATGAGAAACACGCTTCTCTGAATTGCCTCACAGCTATGCTTTACTTCTCAACACTATATCAGGACTGTATAGATCACAAATAGAAAGAATAGCAGTGTGTTAAATTAGCTCAAAGATGCTCCCAATATACCTAATGCAGACATTTGTTCATGTCCTAGAGATGCGTTTGATTTTCTCTTTGACCCTATTTCTAGCCTGGGAGCCAGTTTATGATGAAGGCAACCACAAAGGAGTCTTAAACAGAACCTGATCTGGCTACCAGGCTATACAGTATTTCCTATCATTTTGAAATCAGTAGAATAGTTAGGTATGTGTAATATACACTCTAACCTGCTTGACTAACCCTGGTCATGCTGGTAGTGGGCCACTCATCTAACAGTGTCCTGTTTCCACATCAGGAACCAGGAAGGGGTGGGACTCGTAGCAGCACATGAGCGGAAGTCTCAGACTCTGCCTGTGTCCCGTAACAGGGCGGGAATGATGCATGCCCGCTTACAGCAACTCAGCAGCCTGGATAACTCATACACTTTTAACCACAGTAAGTGCCCCAAAACACCCACCTCTAAACCAAAGGCCCCTCGGCTCCTCCCTCTGTAGTCAGTCACCTCATGATCATCATCATTCTCTTCATTAGTATCATGTGTGCCAAACCCAAAAGTCCAAAGTCAGCCGTTCTAGAGCCATCCATGGATTCCTCCATGGATGTTGTGGTTTTGAGTGAACAAAAGTGAAGGGTTTTATGCTAGAGAGTATATGACCCCTTGGGTCAGTCGTCACTGGATATGTGTTGAAGGGATGGTTTTCATTGGGCCCAGTTCACTGTGTAACGTTATACTGACTTCACCGAAAGCAAAAGAGATTCAACTCTATAGTGTAGGGTGTCTGTTACATGATTCCCTTTAATGAAGTGAATTTCTTTGTGTTTTCAGTGTAAGAAAGATTTCAAGTGTTCTTGGAATATCTGTAGACCATGGTAAGAATGTATCAGGTCAACGACAGGCAGCTTGCAGACTATTTACTATAAGCTCTGTTCATCTGGTTGAATTAAGAGCATGCCATTTTAGCTGAGAATGAGCCATTTTAAACCCTCTGATCCCTCTATCCTGTTTATTTCTGTTCCCTTCTTAACTCACTTCCTTGTATTCAAACCTCTGAAAAATCACAAGTAAAATGCATTTTGTATTCAACTCCACTGAATATTATTTCCTCCTCTGAAGCAAAGTTGTTTTGCCTTAATACTAATGATGACTATTCTCTCTAACAGTATTGTAGTGATTACTCACAAGAGGGCATCTATGCAGCCCTGACTCAGTATGCGTCCCAAATGGCACCCTATTCCCTATACCAGAGACCTATGGGCCCTGTTCAAAAGTAGTGCACTAAATAGGGAATAGGGTGCAATTTAAGAGTTGAGGGGTGATTTGAAAGTGCTCCAGCAGTGTGGTGTGTGTCCTCTGCAGCCTATAGCCACTCTGATGCTGACGTGGTGAACCAATCGGTCCTGGAAGCTAACATTGCCACGGAGGTCTGCCTCACCGTGCTGGACACTCTCAGCATCTTCATCATGGGATTCAAGGTACCCTCCTAGCTGTGGTTTCTGTTGGTTATAATAAGCGGGCCTCAACATGTAAAAGCCATCTCAATGCCTTACTTATAGTGCATTCGGAAAGTATTCAGGCCTCTTCCCTTTTTCCACATTTTGTTACGTTACAGCCTTATTCTAAAATTGATTACATTTCTTTTTTTCCCTCATCAATCTACACACAATACCCCATAATGACAAAGCATAAGTATTCAGACCCTTTGCTATGAGACTCGAAATTGAGCTCAGGTGCATCCTGTTTCCATTGATCATCCTTGAGATGTTTCTACAACTTGATTGGAGTCCACCTGTGCTAAATTCAATTGATTGGACATGATTTGGAAAGGCACACACCTGTCTATATAAGGTCCCACAGTTGACAGTGCATGTCAGAGCAAAAACCAAGACATGAGGTCGAATAAATTGTCCGTAGAGCTCTGAGACAGGATTGTGTCAAGGCACAGATCTGGGGAAGGGTACAAAAACATTTCTGCAGCATTGAAGGTCCCCAAGAACACAGTGGCCTTCATCATTCTTAAATGGGAGAAGTTTGGAACCACCAAGACTCTTCCTAGAGCTGGCCGCCCGGCCAAACTGAGCAATCGGGGGAGGACCTTGGTCAGGGAGGTGACCAAGAACCCGATGGGTTCTTCTGTGCAGATGGGAGAACCTTCCAAAAGGACAACCATCTCTGCAGCACTCCACCAATCAGGCCTTTATGGTAGAGTGGCCAGACAGAAGCCACTCCTCAGTAAAAGGCTCGACAGCCCGCTTGGAGTTTGCCAAAAGGCAACTAATGGACTCTCAGATCATGAGAAACAAGATTCTCTGGTCTGATGTAACGAAGATTGAACTCTTTGGCCTGAATGCCAAGCGTCACGTCTGGAGGAAACCTGGCACCATCCCTACGGTGAAGCATGGTGGTGGCAGCATCATGCTGTGGGGATGCTTTTCAGCGGAAGGGACTGGGAGACTAGTCAGGGTCGAGGGAAAGATGAACGGAGCAAAGTACAGAGGGATCCTTGATGAAAACCTGCTCCAGAGTGCTCAGGAACTCAGACTGGGGGCGAAGGTTCACCTTCCAATAGGACAATGACCCTAAGCACACAGCCAAGACAACGCAGGAGTGGCTTTGGGACAAATCTCTGAATGTCCTTGAGTGGCCCAGCCAGAGCCTGGACTTGAACCCGTTTGAACATCTCTGGAGAGACCTGAAAATAGCTGTGCTGCGAAACTCCCCATCCAACCTGACAGAGCTTGAGAGGATCTGCAGAGAACAATGGGAGAAACTCCCCAAATACAGGTGTGCCAAGCTTGTAGTGTCATACCCAAGAGGACTCGAGGCTGTAATCGCTGCCAAAGGTGCTTCAACAAAGTACTGAGTAAAGTGTCTGAATATTTATGTAAATGAATATTTCTGTTTTTAATTTTTTATAAATTTGCAAAAATGTCTAAAAAACAGTTTTTGCTTTTTCATTATGTGGTATTGTGTGTAGATTGATGAAGATTATTAGTTTTTTTTTTTAATCAAATTTAGAATAAGGCTTTAATGTAACAAAATGTGGAAAAAGTAGAGGGGTCTGAATACTTTCTGAATGTACTGTATGTGATTATGTTATCTAATCACTGACAAGAACGCAATCATACTTGTGTACATACAGAACATGCATTTGATATGTCTTGTTTGCGTTTTTATTGGATATTTCACCTTTTTCCCCACTTCTTATTTGATGTTGTCTATTTCTGTCAGTCCCTTGCTTTTGAAGATAACTGTCTGTACTGTATGTCCTCAGACCCAACTCTGTTCGGACCATGGCCACAACCCGCTCATGAAGAAGGTGTTCGAGGTGCACCTCTGCTTCCTGCAGATCAACCAATCAGAGACAGCCCTCAAGCAGGTCTTCACCTCGCTGCGCACTTTCATCTACAAGGTAAGGAGGCCATTGATTCTTAACACCTCTCTTAAATATGCCAAGTATCTAATCATCACTATGTGTCCGTTTCCAGTTCCCCTGCACCTTCTTCGAGGGCCGAGCGGACATGTGTGCTTCGTTCTGCTACGAGATCCTGAAGTGCTGCAACTCCAAGCTGAGCTCCATCCGCAGTGACGCTGCCCACCTCCTCTACTTCCTCATGAAGAGCAACTTTGACTACACCGGGCGCAAGTCCTTCGTCCGCACTCACCTACAGGTGAGAGAGACAGGGTTTCCCTTCTACGTGCTCATACATTTGTCTCCTCAGAACATCTCTATGTAGCAGCACACTATGGAACTCTCCTAAAGAGCGGTTTGGTTGATGGTTATGGTAGTAGTTTGGTATTGATGTGTGCATTTCCTGCCCTCTCGCCCAGGTGGTGATCGCCGTCAGTCAGCTGATCGCTGACGTTATCGGTATCGGGGGAACCCGCTTCCAACAGTCCCTGTCCATCATCAACAACTGTGCCAACAGTGACAAAACCATCAAGGTCAGAACCCGATGGACGCGCTATTCTCATTCTAACTCCATGTCATCAGTATTGCTTGGTCTTTAATGAACATATCATATGAAATGTATTACATCCAAGGTTGGACCACTTGAATAATCTGCTGTATTATCCTGTATAGAACACCGCTTTCCCGTCAGATGTGAAGGACCTGACCAAGCGGATCCGGACAGTCCTGATGGCCACGGCTCAGATGAAGGAGCATGAGAGGGACCCGGAGATGCTGGTGGACCTGCAGTATAGCCTTGCCAAGTCCTACGCCAGCACGCCCGAACTCCGCAAGACCTGGCTGGACAGCATGGCTCGCATCCATGTGAAGAATGGAGACCTGTCTGAGGTCTGTACCAGGCTAGGGGTCAGAGTTTGGGCCTAAAAATATATAAGTATAAGTCAATGCCAGAGGGATGGGTGTTATATTGATAGGTGTAGTTATTTAAGGAATGGATTATGGTAGTATCTCTATATACACAGTATGAGGATGTTATATGATGAATTCAAGTCATGTGGATGGCTGGTAAAACATACTGATGTATCTGTGATGTTCTCTGTTGTTCACAGGCAGCCATGTGTTATGTGCACGTGGCGGCACTGGTGGCCGAGTATCTCCGGAGAAAAGGTGCGTTTTCCGTCAGCAGTAGAGATGTTGCTGATGATTGCCATTCGATGGTGCCGTTGTCTCTTTTCAAGACAGGAGAACTTCACAAGGGGTTCATGAATGGTCAGCTCAATGTGATTTTAATGAAATGATTGGTAGTTATTAGTTAGTTATTAGTTGGTAGTCCAATACTATACTGTGATTAGTGTACATAGTGCTATGTAATCTGTCGTTCTTTCTAGGTTCCGATACGATCAGGGGCCGTATATCGATATATCGGGATATTATTTTTGACGATATTGCGTGTTGTTTTGACAATATCGCAATATTATTTTTGCGCTAGTTGGCTGTACCTGCACCAAAACTCCTTCATAGCTTGTTCTCCGTCTTCTTTTTAAATAGTTGTTTTCAGCACTTTTATTTCTATGACTGATCAAAACTCGTTTTCTCATGGCTCTCTCTTGTCCCTCTGCAGCAGAGATTTGGTGAGCAAATGTTTGGAACATCGAATCGCAATAAAATGGCAGTGTGGAATCACAATACATATAGAATCGTGAGAATCGCAATACATATCGTATCTCCACCTAAGTATCGTGATAATATTGTATCGTGAGGTCCCTGACAATTCCCAGCCCTAGTATGTATCAAGCGTCTTAGAGTTAGAGTGCTGATCTAGGATCAGGTCCTCCCTGTCCGTATTCAATGTGATCTAAAAGGCAAAACTGATCATAAATTAGTACTTTTGCTATGAGATGCTTGATACATACAGCCACATATTTTGTAATGTAACATAGTGTAAACTGTCGGTCTGTGTTGTTTCACACACAGCTTCTTAACACCAGAGGGATAATCAGCTCTGTGAAAGCAGGTCCACTCATAGCACACTGTATGAGAGAGCAATTCTCTGTTTCCCTGACAACAAACTTTGGCTTTTTGCCTTTTTGGAAACCAGATAATGTTCTGAATTAAATTATATTTTCCCCTTAGTGTATAACCTGTATAAAATACCACAGAAATAAGAACATGTCTTTCTATTTGGTAAATTGATGATGTTCCCATTTCCTTAATGTCCATAGGCATGTTCAAGCAGGGTTGCTCAGCCTTCCGGGTGGTCACTCCCAACATTGATGAAGAGGTGTCCATGATGGAGGATGTGGGCATGCAGGATGTCCACTTCAACGAGGTGAGAGACTAGCAGCCAGCTGCTCTATGCTGCTAGGTCAAGACATGAGTTCTGGTGCTCGTTTGAATGTCCTTTTTTGGGGGGGCATATACAACTCTTATCTTGTTTATGTTCAGTTTATATCCTTGGATCATTTCCAGCACACTTGCTCTTAAATTTTGGAGTTTGCACTTTCTTGGAGATAACCAGGCAGCTATCTTGTAGAGATCAGTTATCAGTGAGTCAGCTCTGCTCCGCACTATCAAACAACATGCAAAACGAAAGACGCAACCAATTTCATGTCTAATGGTACTTTTGAATTTATTACAAAGAAATCATCTATTTTCTCTAATAAGGCACAGCGTAGCTTACCATTGTGGCATATGATAGCCGTCCAATAGCCATTAAGAGGTGATGTGGAACAAATGTGCATTTAAATCCCATTTTCATATCCTGTTCACCATATCCTCATTATACACGATGTCATTAGAGTTACACAACTGTTCATGTTGCGTTGCATCAAGGACAATAGGCCTCTAGTACTTTTTTCTTTCCGCTAACCTTCATAAAGCTTTGAAATGAAGCCCTTACATGTGTTGTGTATAGCCAGATCTCCTTCGTGTGGACACTGTATGAAAAGTCATTCTTTCTCTCGTTCTCGCTCCCATACAGGATGTCCTGATGGAGCTGTTGGAGGAGTGTGCTGATGGCCTGTGGAAGGCTGAGCGCTATGAGCTCATCTCAGACATCTACAAGCTCATCATCCCCATCTACGAGAAGCGTAGGGACTTTGAGGTACAGCAGCAGACCCGCACCCTCTGTTGGTTCCACTGTCTATGTCATGGGGCCCAACACTTAAGGATAAAGGGCCAAACTTTGAGAAAAGATGCTGATTCTTATCGGTGTGTTTGTGCGTTTCTCAATTCCACAGAAACTGGCTCACCTGTACGACACGCTCCATCGTGCCTACAGCAAAGTGACAGAGGTCATGCACACGGGCAAGAGGCTGCTGGGAACATATTTCAGAGTGGCTTTCTTTGGCCAGGTGAGCTAACGATTGAAATCTGACGGTAGGCTGTCGTACCACAAAAACAATGCAATGGAGATCAAACAAGTTGTTTCACTTTCCCACTATACTATTGCTTTGCTCTTTCAAGTATGGTATGCAGGTATTTAGATTTTGCACTAATTATATTTTCACTGTATTGTTTAAGATAAATCCAAATTGAAGGTGCAAATGGCTAAATTAATAAGTGCCCTTTATCCAAAAAAATAACTTGATTTGAGCATGGGAGCTGCTGGAAGCGTTTTGATTGATAAAACCATGACCAGGTCACGTGGCCTTTTTATTATCCATTCTAATACTTTTCCCCCTGTTTTTTATCCTCTTTAAAGGCAGCGGTAAGTTCTGCAGTAGGATCTGCTCCTGAGCAGACAAAATCTATGTGTGGTGTGCTGCTGCTGTAATCCATGACATCTTTCAGCCAAAATGTGCTGCTTAAAGTTCTTAGCAGTTACATTAACTCACGAACCTTCCGTCAACGTTTTTTGTTTGGTTGTTGCAACAGCATTGCATGTTGCTGTTTCAATGGAGGAATAGACTGTCTTCTTTGCTTCCATTTTCCAATGTATTTTCAAAGTCTTCTTACACCTGGTTCTTCCTTCTTTCACTGTGTTAACTCTTGTGTTTTGCAGTTGTTGCTTTTGACAGTTTGCTTTGTTGGAGTGGAAACCTTCATAGAACCATGTTCCTTGGTGTTACTTCTGTATGTGGCGTTAGAGTGTGAACACGTATCTGCTATAGTTGTAGTCTGGGTAGTGTTGGAATAACTATGATTTTGTTTTCTGTTGCTCTACCTACCACTCCGTAGCAGTACCAGTTTACTGACTCTGAGGCTGAGGTAAATGAATGAGAAAGTCAATATTGTGGTAAACACGCTGCATTAGAGCTTAAGGATTGTGACGTGCCCCTGTTAGTGCAGTCAGTGGTATTAACCGCCACCTAGCTCATCCATCTCGGCACTCTTTACTACTGCCTGGCTTAGTGTTGCCCTGACAACAAGCATATTAGTCAAGGTTCAATGGGAGGATTCCATCTCTCGTCTCTGTATCCATTCATCCAGGTGATAGCTACTTCCCCATTCAGCTACAGTGTTGAGGGATTTTTTATTATTGGTTTTTGGGTATAAATACTGAACACCCTTTGATGGAGTGAAATCCAAACCCCTGCGTCCATCCTTTTATTTGTTCAGAAGCACTGATCCTAGATCAGTGTTGTTGTTTGTTTCTGTGCTTTGACTGTGACCGATCCAGGGATATGTATTTTGGGAATATTTCTTGCTGTTAGGGTCAGGATATGAAATTGTTGCTGTCACTCATCCCATTTCCACAGACAATTAGTCAACACGGCATAGTGCCTTGGTCATTAATGTTAATGTGGTGGTGTAATCTGTTGTTTTTTTTAGTCTTCATACTGCTTTTGACGTCATTGTTACATGAACACCTTCACATTTGGGTTTCCATTGTTTTGTTTTCATTTTCTCTAGTACTGTATGTACTATAACCATAGTGTGTATTTTTGGCTTCCTCCTAGGGATTCTTTGAGGATGAAGATGGTAAAGAGTATATCTACAAAGAACCCAAATTCACCCCACTGTCAGAGATATCTCAGAGGCTACTCAAGCTCTACTCTGACAAGTTTGGCCCAGAGAATGTTAAGATCATTCAGGACTCTGGGAGGGTGAGAGTCAAATTTTTACTCTTGGTATTTGACCCTCGATTTGTGTTTTGATGGTTCTGATTGGTCCTTTGTGTTACGTGTCCTATCCAGATAAACCCTAAAGATCTAGACTCAAAGTATGCCTACATCCAGGTGACCCATGTCACCCCATTCCTGGAAGAGAAGGAGCTGGTGGACAGGAAGACAGACTTTGAGAAGAGCCACAACATCCGGCGCTTTGTCTTCGAGATGCCCTTCACCGTGTCGGGGAAGAAGCAGGGAGGGGTGGAGGAGCAGTGCAAACGCAGGACCATCCTCACCAGTAGGTGTTCCACTTCATCTAGGCAGTTGGGGCCAATGAAGGGACCCATAGGTAGACATCTTATTCCGACTTTATGTTCATGGATGTACAGGAGGCCTGACAAAATCTGTTAAGATAAGATATAAGATGTTCCTATTACTTACACAGTACCTATAGATGACTCTCACAGAAAAGAATGTGCACAAATATCAGACACATTCCTTATCACTCAAACATGATCCATCATACTGCTTAGAACATTCCCTGCGTGTAGCTGGAAAAGGGGAGGCATCCAGGTAATCTACAGATATGCTCGGTGCGACACGTAGCTCAGGATCCATCTCTGGGGCATATGAGTAACGTCATAAATTACGTATTACAGTCAATCAACCAGAACCTTTGCTCGCATTATACAGGGAATAATAATGGTCATTAGCAGACGCTTTCCAGAGCGATCTTACAGAGCAATTAGGTTTAAGTGCTTGCTAAGGCACATGACAGATTTTCCTAGGGGTCGGGATAGAACCAGCGACCTTTGGTTATGGCACACCTTTGCTACCTGCCTCCACGATACATAAACTGTATCTCTACCTGGCATAACATTGCTATTGGAAGGGTCCTGTGCAATAATGGCAATATCTGATTAGGTTCTGAGTATGTCAGCTCTTTGTTACTAATATTTCTTCATCCTAATTGGTTGTGTTTTATTGTTTTACAGTATAAAAGACTGCAATGTACAAACTTTATCTTGTATCTTCATTATCTGAATAAGGCTGCCTTGCCTCAAAGGTCTTTCTTTAGTGAGTGAATGGGCAAGTCTCACGCTGTAGAAACTGCTTAGAACACATATCTGTCTGAACCCCTAATAAACGCATGTGTGGGTGAGGATGTTTTATGCACCTAATAGGGTGAGCAACCGTGTTCACATCCATTTTCTCTCAATCCCTCTCTTTCTCAATCTCTCTCTCATAGCAACACACTGTTTCCCCTATGTGAAGAAGCGTATTGCGGTGATGTACCAGCATCACACAGACCTGAACCCCATAGAGGTGGCTATAGATGAGATGAGCAAGAAGGTGGGCGAGCTGAGACAGCTGGTTTCCACCAGTGATGTGGACATGATCCGCCTGCAGCTCAAACTACAGGGCAGCATCAGTGTCCAGGTGCAGGCCATAAACCACAATTCCTGTCCTGACAAACCACACCCCCTGTCCTCACTAACCACATCCTCTTCTTACATGCCAAATCTTCTGTCCTCACAAACCACATCCTCTGTCCTCACAGAGCACAGAAACACAACTTTATTTTACCCATTCACCTATTTTATTCAATATTTAGACGTATTATATGGTAAAGACATCCCTAAACTTGCCAATATAAAATAAATGTTCTTCTCACCTTTAGGTAAATGCCGGTCCCCTCGCATATGCCCGAGCTTTCCTGGATGATGCCAGCACCAAGAAGTATCCTGACAACAAGGTCAAACAACTTAAAGAAGTCTTTAGGTGAGTTCTTACGGAACACACATTCCCATGCCACACAACGTATCTATCCACTAAGTAATTACAGAAAACCATGAATTACATACTGTATGTGTTATGTATGACACTGGCCTTTTGTGGAGCAGGCAGTTTGTGGAGGCTTGTGGCCATGGCCTGGGCATCAACGAGCGGCTGATCAAAGAGGACCAGCAGGAGTACCATGACGAGATGAAGGCCAACTACAGAGACCTGGCCAGAGAGCTGTCCGCCATCATGCACGAGCCAGTAAGGAGGAGCTACCTGCTAGCATAACAAACATTGGGATCCAATATTGTTTGTGCTTCAGTCGTTTTTAATGATTTGTACGTTTTGGAAGAATCTGTTGTATTTGTTCTGATTGCAATGCTGGTGAAACAGTTTAGTTTGAGGATTGTTATGAAAGTAACTGTTATTATAAGGCATTGGAATTTCATAGTCTAATATTTTATGATCTTTGATAACGCCTTTTTCCCTCTGTTTTTCCTTTGTGCTGACATGAGCAGATTGGATGGTAAAACATCTTTGGCATGGGCTTCATTACGTGTGATTAATCCTAATTAAGTTGTCTAAAATAGACCATTTATCCTTTAGCATCACCTTGAACTCGCTCCCTTCCTCCCCCTTCCAGATCAGTCCAGTGGAGGATGGCATGAAGAGCGTTCTTCCAGACTCGCTGCACATCTTCAATGCCATCAGTGGCACACCCAGCGGTGCCACCATCGCGGGCATGCCCAACTCCTCCTCTGTGGTGTGAGACCCTCCGGGAATGGCTGACCCCTGACCTCAACGCTCCGCATGCAGGCGCCAACCAGTGTGCCAGAGCTGCCACGAGCCCCCATTCCTGCTTCACCGCTCTCCTTATCATCAAGTTTGCTCTGACTAAAGTGAGACAATATTAATGTTCTTTTAACCTTCTTTCACACCTTCTCTGGCTTGTCCCATGGGTCAGGACAAAGGACTATGTCGTTTTCTGTTTTCACTATCGTATACAGTACAGCCACTCTGGAGGATGGGACCAGGGACATTGATCCATGAGGACGACTGAACTAAAGGAGTTCCACATGAACAGAGAGGGGTGGGGGTGGGGGGGAGGGGGGGGTTGTCTATCTGTGGAGCAGACATACAGTATGAGGGGAGACTGGTGTATCCTCCACCCTGTATCTGACTCTGACTGGGGTTCCTGTCTGTGTAGTGTTTGGGTTCCATGATATATATATATATGACATCAATGGTAGTGTTTCCTGTGGAGACGTCCCTGTAGGGATCCTTAAAGCAACACAAATGTGCATGTGATGTCACTAGCTCCTCATCAGCCTACTGTTGTCTCATTGTTATCTCTTTGTTTTGATCATTTGTCTTCTACTCTGAACTCTTCAAGTGATTTTGTATGTACATTATTCCACTTTGATAAATCTCATATTGATGTCTTGGCGAACTATATATGCTGCATACATTGGCATTCATCTCTCTGTACATGTACATGAAGACTTGTTATGTTTCTACAAAGCTGCAACTTATTGGAAAAAGAGCCTCCTATGAAAACGTTAGCGTTCGACCTTAATCACTGAAATGTCTTAGAATGGGATTTTTCTTTTTTTAAGCCATTTGCATATAAGTATATTCCAAGCTGTTCATTCTTGTATATAAAAAAGGAGTGCAATATTTGTATTTTGCAAGGTGTCTTGCTGTGTTGGGTTCAATACACTGTAAGATGATGTTTGTCCTTCTTGCCAAAGCAATGAGGTGTGGATCTAGAGACGAGGCCTACTGTGGAAGTTATATGAAGCTTTTACCATTTTAGTGTTTATTCAAATGTTAATGAAATCATTTTATATTTGGGAAGCATTGGGTTTTTTATTTTTATTTAACAGAAAGTCACTGTTCTGCTGTATACAGAAATGTTCCCTAATGCTTTTCTTTTAAATAAAATTCACTCATTTCTCTGCACTTCTACTTGATTTCCTTATTAACCTTTCTCACAACAACATTGATGGAAGTAGACTAGTAGCTTGTTGTTTTGTTGTTATCATACAGTATTATCTAATTATTAGCTAATTCGAGGTATTGACAGACTCTCAACTTCCAACCTCTGGTGTTCTCACATAAGATAAAACCATAAAACAGCATTCTGGGATACCATTCCAGGGTCATGCCTCCTAGCCTTAGAGGTAGGGATCATTGTGTTAGCCTGATAGGGATCACTAAAGGATACTAAACGTTACAGGACAAGGAGCAGTCTCTATACACTGCCATCATGACAGGTCAGGCAACAAAATGCTATTAAAATTGCTAAACTTGCATCTGTTAAATTATGTTATGGCTCTATGCTATTCAGATATCTGGCATTTTCTGATAGGCTTATGTTATTGGTGATAATAAATTGCATCTATTTAATTGTTACACCAGTACCCTGCTTAGATATCTAGAATATTTTATATATTTAACTTAATGGTTTTATTTCTCACACACAAAAAGATGAAGAGGGTGTTAAGAAGGTCAAGTCAAAGGTAAGACTTTTAGTGTGCTGTCCATTGTCTGGATTAATTTATTTTACAATTGATGCTCTGAAACATCAAGAAATGCTTCCTAGATTAAATAAACTAGCCCTAAATTGAAATAATACTATGCAACACAATTCAAACTTGCATGTTCAGCTACACTACATGACCAAAGGTATGTGGACACCTGTTCGTCGAACATCTCATTCCAAAATCATGGGCATTAATATGGAGTTGGTCCCCTCTTTGCTGCTATAATGGCCTCCACTCTTCTGGGAAGGCTTTCCACTAGATGTTGGAACATTGCTGCGGGGACTTGCTTCCATTCAGCCACAAGAGCAGTAGTGAGTTAAGTCACTGATGTTGGGCGATTAGGCCTGGCTTGCAGTCGGCGTTCCAATTCATCCCAAAGGTGGGGTTGAGGGCAGGGCTCTGTGCAGGCCAGTGAAGTTCTTCCACACCGATTTACAAATTATTTCTGTATGGACCTCACTTTGTGCACGGGGGTACTGTCATGCTGAAACAGGAAAGGGCCTTCCCCAAACTGTTGCAACAAAGTTGGAAGCACAGAATCGTCTAGAATGTCATTGTATGCTGTAGCGTTAAGATTTCCCTTCACTGGATCTAAGGGTCCTAGCCCGAACCATGAAAAATAGCCCCAGACCATTATTCCACCTCCACCAAACTTTACAGTTGGCACTATGCATTCGGGCAGGTAGCTTTCTTCAGGCATCCGCCAAACCCAGATTCGTCCATCTGACTGCAAGATAGTGAAGCGTGATTCATCACTCCAGAGAACGCATTTCCACTGCTCCAGAGTCCAATCCCGACGAACAGTTCTTGTGCTGACGTTGCTTCCAGAAGCAGTTTGGAACTCGTTAGTGAGTGTTGCAACCGAGGACAGATCATTTTTACACGCTACGTGCTTCAGCACTCTGCGGTCCCGTTCTGTGAGCTTGTGTGTCCTACCACTTTGCGGCTGAGCCGTTGTTGCTCCAAAACGTTTCCACTTCCCAATTACAGCACTTACAGTTGACTGGGGCAGCTCTAGCAGGGCAGAAATTTGACAAACTGACTTGTTCGAAAGGTGGCATCCCATGACTGTGCCACGTTGAAAGTCACTGAGCTCTTCAGTAAGGCCATTCTACTACCAATATTTGTCTATGGAGATTGCATGGCTGTGTGCTCGATTTTATACACCTGTCAGCAATGGGTGTGGCGGCTGAATTAGCCGAATCCACTAATTTGAACAGGTGTCCACATACTTTTGTATATATAGTGTGTGTATCTCATTCAATATCATAGCTGGAAGGTAATCCTTATTTTTGACTGCACTCTCCAATTTTACGTAAATTGGCTTTTATTCAGCTATAGTATAGATTAAATTATAAAGATACTAGCGTAATATGGTCATTATTTTGTGTCTGTATGCACAGGAAGTCTGTGGCTATCCCCTCAGCATATTCTTCATTGTTGTAAATGAGTTCTGCGAGAGATTCTCCTACTATGGCATGCGAGGTAAGAATATGATACAGTATGTACTATCAACAACTTCATGGGCGTAATCAACAGTTATAACCCAGTGAGCAAAACTGGTTGAAAAAACATCATTTCAACAAGTTTTGCCCACTGGGAATAAATATAGTGGCTGTGTGGAGTGCCCATCCTGAGGAGCTTCCCCTTCTCTCTCCCCTGTCCACAGCTGTGCTGGTGCTGTACTTCAGGTACTTCCTCCGGTTTGATGATGACCTGGCCACCTCCATCTACCACACCTTTGTGGCTCTGTGCTACCTGACTCCCATCCTGGGAGCCATTATAGCAGACTCCTGGCTGGGCAAGTTTAAGTAAGTGACTGTTCGGAGCCCTAGAACTAGAGTGTATTACAGAACAGGAATCCGTTCTTGCACTGGTAGCTAACACCTTGATTTCCCCTTCCCGCAGGACCATCATCTACTTGTCCATTGTCTATGCAATTGGCCAGGTTGTGATGGCAGTCAGCGCCGTTCATGACATCACGGACACAGACAGAGATGGAACGCCAGACAACTTGACCTTGCATATGTGAGTCATCCTCACTTCAAGTCAAGTTCAGAGATTCGCTTACGCAAACACAAGTCACATGAGAACACTTGCTGGGGTATGTCCTGACTACATGGACTTTGTGAGGTGCTACTGCAGGCATGGCCTAACAATGTTGCTCTGCCTCCTCTCTCAGTGTGTTGTCCATGGTGGGCCTGCTGCTCATTGCGCTGGGTACAGGTGGTATCAAACCATGTGTAGCTGCTTTTGGAGGAGACCAGTTTCAGGACCACCAGGTTAGCAGAATAACTCAGTATTCAGAGAATGACACCACCACTGCATCTTATGTCTGTGTCTTTGTCAGTATGCGGATAGTTCCTCTCCACAACTGCAAAGCTATTGTAAATCCCACATACACCGATGTTAACCTTGAAATAAAGAACATGTAGGAGAACCTTTGCTCCTTTGAGAAGTGTAATGTACATGTATCTCCTATGAATGGCACATAATATACAAAATGTACACGTAATGCAAATCTATTCCTTTTTATTTTTGCAGGCGAAACAGAGGAGCACTTTCTTCTCTGTTTTCTACCTGTGTATCAATGGTGGGAGTCTCCTGTCTACTATCATCACACCAATCCTCAGAGGTAGGGGGCATGTCCAAGCCAGGCAGACTATGTATAATAACTGCCTAAATGCTGTCTGAAGATATTCCCACAAATCTGCATAAATAACAATTTAAGACACAACACAACTGCAGCTAGTGTATGGATGTGTGATGTCTGTGCTGTGTGTCCCTTTGTTTAGGCCAGGAGTGTGGCATCCACAGCCAGCAGAAGTGTTACCCTCTGGCATTTGGTGTCCCTGCTGCGCTCATGGTGGTCGCCCTTGGTTAGTTTCTCTACCATCTTCTCTATTCTACCTACAGATGTAGGATCTGAATTTGACCTATATTGTCACATCAAAAAAGTCCTGCAGCAACAGGATTTGAATGTTTAGTCCATAATTTTGCTGGATCGGTGGTCAGACTATTAGCCGGCCAAAAGTAGGCTACATAAAAAGTGCAATACTGTTAATATAACAATGTGTTAGTGTGGGTTTTCAGTACATTTTTGTAAATCATGAAGCTCATCTGCATTTCCTGCAGTGCAGGAAAATTCTCAGCAACAAAAGAGTGATCAAATGAAGATCCTACATCTGTACCTTGTCCCATGGTTTTGCAGTAATATTTATACTAATAAAGAGTATGAAAATGTAGTTTGACAGTGCTTTTTGTCCCTACAGTCGTGTTCATAATTGGAAGTGGTATGTACCATAAGACTGAACCGCAGGGAAACATCATGCTGGATGTTTGTAAATGTATTGGGGTAAGTCAAACATTATCTAGTACCAACATTCAGCATAATTGCATCAACTTTCACAACAATGTGAAAAATGACTGGAGGACTCTTCCCTGCAGCCATCCTGGTGTTTCTGAAAGGATCATTTCTGTGTCTGCTCGCCTTTACAGTTTGCAGTAAAGAACCGCTTCAGGCACAGGAGTAGCTCCTACCCGAAGAGAACGCACTGGATGGACTGGGCCGAAGAGAAATATGAGGTACTCTACATTGTAAACTCTCCTACTGTCTCTACATAAATGTCATGTTCAGTCTCCAATATACGAACAACACCTCATATTTTCTTTCTCTCTTTTTGTACTTGTAGAAACTCCTCATTGCTCAGATAAAGATGGTGCTGAAGGTCTTATTTCTGTACATTCCCCTTCCCATGTTCTGGACCCTATTTGACCAAAAGGTATCTGAGATTTGTTGGAAAATAGTCTAGTTTGTCCTGCAACGTGTGATGTAACATAGCTTGTAATATCCATGTGGTATAATCAAATAAAACGTTCTGCTCCCTCACAGGGCTCTAGGTGGACTCTTCAGGCCACCACCATGGATGGGAACTTTGTACGTTTGCAAAAACATCCCACTATAAAAAGTAAATTAAAGCTACAATTTGCACGTTGTTCATGTTCGTAATGACCTTGCTCTCTTTCCAGGGGTTCCTCATTCTGCAGCCTGATCAAATGCAGGTAAGTTAGAGGTACTTTAAAGTTCCTGATTTGTTCCATCCATGGTTAAACGCACTTCTTACCATAGAAACCATATTTCTGACAGACTGTCAACCCCATCCTGATCCTGACTCTGGTACCTATCATGGACAGTGTGGTGTACCCACTGATAAAGAAATGTGGCCTGAACTTCACGTAAGTTATACTTAAAGAAAATTATAAAACACATGCCTGTACAGTATCTACAAAACAGTGAAGAGGCAGGTGTAAGCATGCTTAGGAATCTAACCATGAACCTTTCCTCAACAGTCCTTTGAGGAGAATGACAGTGGGGATGTTTTTTGCAGCTATGGCCTTTGTTGCTGCAGCTTTGGTACAGATCCAGATTGATGTAAGTGTCTACAATACATCTACATTGTGTGGCAGTTTGTTTCTGGTTTAGCAAAGTATTCTTTGTCGCTATCATGTCTTGTATGGCTAGGAATAGATGTAGCATTGTTGTATGCAGAAACAGTCCAGAACCCAGGCTACAGGAAATCTATATTATGAGGAAGTAAAAGTGCAGAGTATCCCATGTTGACCCTCTTAATGGCAATGCTTTCACTGCCTATAGAATTGGAATGCATAACAAAAAGATTATGTTTTCTAAATCCTTACTAGTACCCAGAGCCATATATTAAAATCTATATGTATATGACTCTGCTTGTATCTATTTCAGAAAACCTTGCCAACCTTCCCTTCATCCTCCCAGAGCCAATTAAAATTACTCAACATGGGCAGTAACCCCTTGAATGTTACCCTACCCAATAATGATCCCTTAAGGATTGAAGCAGCTCAGGTAAACCATCTTAAGGAGGTTCACTTCTCTTAGGGATTCATATCACAAAATCCGACTGTATTAGCAGAAGTCTTAAACAGATGTTGATGACTATTAGAAGAATACGTTTTACATTTTTTATTGAACCTTTATTTTATCAGGGAGCCATACTGAGACCAAGGTCTCTTTTACAGATGAGCCCTGAATTACATAAATTACAGAAAATACACACATCAAAATATAAATACTAAATACAAGCAGAAAGAAAAACATGGTCATAAAAAAAAACACATTCATCAGTAATAAGGTCCTCAATTTATGGTTTAAGTAGAATTATAAAGTTATGATCAGCCAAAACATTACATTAAGACATTTATCACTGTGTTTATACCTTGCTGTGAAACTGATTTAAGTCCACTCATATATTTTACAGGCTAGTGCAAATTACCTTACATTTGAAGAAGAAAGCATCAAAGTTTCATTTCAGAATCCTGCAATATCTAGGACTATTTCCTTAGCAAAGGAAAAGCGGCAAACACTTCTAATTCCCTCAAACCTCAGTGCCCCAATGTGGGAGGTGGTAAGTACATACCTATTATTACACCCTTATAAAAGTACAGTATTAACATCATGAGCATTAAGTCAATATACATTTTCTCTGATCCTCTGTTGCAGACTGACGATTTGATGGCAAAGCCAGAGCAAGGGGCCAATGCAATCAGGTGATTTTGAATGCATTTCCCAATGTTTACTGAGATGACCTAAATGAACATACATTTCTAGATAATCTATAGCCATTCATGGTTAACTTGGGTGTGTTTTTTTTGTTGTTGCTGTTTCTCAACTCTATATGTATTAATTTCCAGATTTGTTAATGGGATGGCTGGAGCGGTGAATGTGTCAACTTTTGGAACCATTGACTACTCCTCTGCTTCCAACTACTCTCTCATATCAAATGGAAAGTAAGGAATTAATTCATGATTATACTTGCAAATATGCAGTATAATAAAGAAGATGACATAAAGAATATGCAGCTAAATCCTTAAAATGTGTATTTAGCTGATTTTGCTTACAGTACATTATCTGGCTTAAGACTCACAAACACAGATTTCCAAAGCATCTCTTCTTACTAATTTCCAGAACCACCTTCACCATTACCAGTGGTGCAAACACATGTGAATACTCCAGAGAATTTGGATTCGGAAGTTCTTACACTATCCTTATACCCAGTGATTTCTCATGGGGCGTGAGTGTAAGTTTCACTCCTTCTATGTATCACTTAATAATACAGTGATATATCCCATAATCAGATTCAGTAAGTTACAGTTTGATTGTCTATTTTATATAGTGCTGGGAATCCATTTCTGTGGTTGAGGACATCCAGCCCAACTCCTTCCATATGGGCTGGCAGATCCCACAGTACTTCCTCATTACCTGTGGAGAGGTGGTGTTCTCTGTTACTGGCCTGGAGTTCTCTTACTCACAGGTGAAGCACACACAACCTTACTAGTCTACACTTAGTCATCTGATAGACCCTGTGCTGAACTTGAATCATTTTGATCTGCACAAAAAGAGGGGAAAGTATAAAGTAATATCTTGAATTTTCAGTTGTAAAATCATGGGTGGCCGTACTCCAATTCACAGCATAATTTACTAAGCTATATATCTTTCTTCAAAGGCACCGAGCAACATGAAGGCAGTGCTGCAAGCAGGCTGGCTGTTCACTGTAGCTATTGGCAACTTTATTGTGCTTATTGTGGCTGAGATTGCACAGATCGAAGAACAGGTACAGTGCCACCAACCTACATTCTACAGATAACTCTCTCATTCTATGTTTTCTGAGGACACACTCATAGCACTCCTGCAGCACGTGGTCTGCGTATAGGGCAAGCCAGCCCTGACTCTCTGGGTGAAAGAGTTGAAGTCTTCAGTGCCCATGAATCATACCTCAAGGGCTAGATCTGTTGAGGTAAATATGTGACAGGTGTCAAATCTTTGTGTTCTTTCCTCCTACAGTGGGCAGAGTTTATCCTCTTCGCCTCCCTCCTAGTGGCAGTGTGTGTCATCTTCTCCATCATGGCCTATTTCTATACCTACATAGACCCTGTAGAGATCGAGGCCCAGTTCAGGGACAAAGGCAGTAAGGAAGAATCAGACAAAGAGGAGCTTCAAATGCAGAAGAAAGATTCCATAGCCCATCACAATGAAGATGATGAACCCAAACACACCAAAATGTAAATGTCTGTAAATGTGCATAATTATCTGTGTGTGTGTGTGTGTGTGTGTGTGTGTGTGTGTGTGTGTGTGTGTGTGTGTGTGTGTGTGTGTGTGTGTGTGAGTGAGTGAGTGAGAGAAAATAAAAGAGAAAAAAAAAAGAGAGAGAGAGAACATGAATACCTATTGTATTATAGTTTTGATATGCACAAAATAACTGCTCCAAGTATGGTGCAGAAAGGGAAAAGGACATTGGTACTACATTTCAATTCCAGACTTCTTTTAAGCTTTCGGCAGTGAGAGAAAACAACAAAACATTAGAAATGGAACAATCTGTTATTGAAAAAATAACTGTAAAACATCCCAATGTCCATTGATCAGGATCAATTTTGTATGATTATACTGTATAAATTGCATTGTTTTTAATATAGAAGTTAGTGTGTATTTAAAAATAAAAAAAACTATTTTCTAAACATTTTATTCTATAACTTGAAAAGAAATCTGTGTCATTGCTTAAATAAACATGAAATAGACTCCATTTTTATCATGGCTCTCATTTAGGCTCACCTACATTCATCTGTGGATTGGGCATAATACAATTTATAGTCCATGTGATTTGCCTTAGACTATAACATATATTTTTAAAAGAGGACTGGGTTTGCACAGGCCAATAAATTATAATAAAGTTAAAGTTTTGTGTCAGATAACATACAGTAGGCCAACTCATATTCTGTTCTTCTGAAATACATCTTCTTCATATCATAATGTTTCTTTAGACTTGCCTAAAATAAATAATGGATTTATTGTGATGGTATATATTAAATGGATTTATTAGATGGATTTATTTAAATTTATTATTTAAATGTATATGTTCCATGTTTTTAAATGTATATGTTCCAAGCTGTTTGTATGCGGTTTGTATGCGTGGAGGCCTGTGTCCTCATTTATCAATTTTGTGTAGAAACCATTCTAAAATACTGCTTACGAACGGAATGTAGAATGTTAGTAGGCATAGAAAAGTGTGATTTATCAAACAATCCTACGAGCGTCATACGCACACGGGTAAGAGATAACGTTGAAACATACCAATTGTTTTCAGGTTCAGTGCTCGTGCTCGACCTTGGCTGTTTGCATTTCGAAACCCTCCTAATTAACTATATATGATCAAAATCATCCCTTTAAAGCCCGTGGGAATATACAACGTCCATAACATGAAATAGCCTACAACGGCGCAACCAAAAAAAGCTACGCTACGCTTAGATTATATTTTTTATTTTTTTCGAGACAGCAATAGAGGTGAAAAAGAGGGCCATTAGGACAATGCAAGTTGCTTTAGCAATGGAAAATGTACTTGAAATGAGTAACACTCACCAACACACACCGCCAAGCCATCCATCCTCAACAGCTCCCTATACACTCTAAAAAAGTAAAGGTTCCTGGAGGATCCTTTAGGGGTTCTTCAAATTGAAACTGTGGGGGAACCCCTATAAATTCCTCGAAGAACCCTTTTTAATGGATCCTCAAATAACCTTTTGAATAACCTTTTGGGGTTAATTTTTTAACTTTTTGTGGTAAATGTGAATGAAAAAAACTGTTTTGATAATGGTTTTCATTCACATACCATAATGTAGAGGCCTATGGGATTTTCATTGAAGAGGTAAGGGGGGAGGATGGTACATGTGATCTGCATAACATACCACTATCAATTGACATACCTTTGTATGCCTCCCTGTCTGTATACCTGCAGGGGGGAGGTAAGGGAGGAGGCATACAAAGGTATGTCAATTGATAGTGGTATGTTATGCAGATCACATTTACCATCCTCCTCCCTTACCTCTTCAATGAAAATCCCATAGGCCTCTACATTATGAAACAAGGTATGTGTATGAAAACCATTATCAAAACAGTTTTTTAAATTCACATTTACCACAAAAACAAAGGTATGAATACTGTTGTGTGCATGTTTAATAAAACATCTGTATAATTACTATTTTTTGGATTCACAGACTTCACCCTCCCTACACCTCTGATGAATATAACAGGAAACCTGTTTGATCACCATGCACTGCAAAATCATTATTTGCTATGGATACGGAGCACATCAACACATTAACATCAACATGTCAGAGGATATACCCATTGGACTTGGGGCTCTGCTGGGAGTTTACCTCATATTTAGATTTTTTTATTCTGCTTTGCCACTAAAATCATAATAAACACTGACCACTAAAATATTGTGTTATTGTTGTTATTGTTATGTGTATTATTATTATTATTATTATTATTATTATTATTATTATTATTATTATTATTATTAATGATAATAATAATAGGGGAGGGGGGGGGGGGGGGGTAGTTCAAAAATTAACCCCAAAAGGTTCTTCAAACGGTTCTTTGAGGATCCATTAAAAAGGGTTATTTGAAGAACTTATAGGGGTTCCCCCACAGTTTCAATTTGAAGAACCCCTAAAGGAGCCTCCAGGAACCTTTTCTTTTTAGAGTGTAGCCTGTCAAGTGTTGTTGCATGAATTCACAATGGAAATACAATTAAATCAAAAAAGGATGTAATTATTATTCTCACAATTTCACACATTTTCAACATATATTTTCCCCATTCTTGACAAGCAGTTGCCTTATTCCACCTCATGGCACTGTGCCTACACATGGTCATGGCTGTGCTTAAATGTACTTGCACACTCAAGCAAACGTTTATATTGACAAATCTCACACTTAGCGTGGAAATGATCCCACGCATGGTTTACGCACAGATTTGTGCCTATGCACGGTTGATAAAAGAGGCCCCTGGAGATGCTAAATGTGTTTATGTTAATAAACGGTCCCGGCAGTCTTTTGCATGATAAATACAATGTATGCTTGATCCGAAAATGTGGTCAGAGGCTTCGTATGGAGGTTGTGACGCAATAGCGGAGCCTCTGGAGGTATGCAGAGGCCAAATTGAGCTCCGTACCACATCGTCGTGCGCCTCTCAAATTTTGTAACAATATAGCTCCGCATTGACATGATAGGTTGACGGTAGGTGGGGGCAGGAGGTCCTCTATAAACACAAACTCACTTCCTTGACAACTTCCTCGAAGCGCAAGAAGTATGAATGCCCTGACTTCTGCAGAGGCCATGTCACCGTAAATGCAGACATCGGATTGACCATTCAGCGCCTTTCACTGGCTGACACTTTTGCATGACCATAACTGACTGACAAAATGTCATGATTGCCACAGCCCTAGCCACGACACGTCCGGAAATCGCAGGACAGTGGAGGGGTCTAGCAGAAATGTCGCAGACTTCCGGATGACAAGATTATGCAGACAATTCGCATATTGTGAGTGCTCCCAAAATGTCAAGATGTATGTCATAGTCTAATGTATGCCTAGGGGCTCTAGTCAATCCGGATACAGGAAGTTCAGCGTTACAGTGTGATTGAAATTTAAAGACAATGATCCCGCGTTAGCAAAAACTGCATTCACGGTAAACGTTGCATATGTTGGCTCAATCATGAAATTAATGTAACATTTATATTGCGCAATCTGTAACGTTTCAGCGATACAGATTGAATAGAGCCCTATTAAGCAATTTGACCATCTTTCACTTCATCAACTGGTGGGTCTCCTTCAATTTCTTTGCAATACTTAAGAAAACCTTCTAGGTAGTATAACATCGTTACTGACTCAAGGAAGTCAACGCACATCCACACTAGCTAGCTGTGTTAACTAGTTCATTAGATTACTAGCTAGCCAACTTTGAATCATTTGCGCCAGAAAGAGGCCCACTGATAAGGCCAATCTATTGAGCCATGTACTCAGTTTACAAAACATTAAGGACACCTGCTCTTTCCATGACAAAGACTGACCAGGTGAATCCAGGTGTACGCTATGATCCCTTATTGATGTCACTTGTTAAATCCACTTCAACCAGTGTAGATGAAGGGGAGGAGATGGGTTAAATAATGATTTTTAAGCCTTAAAACAATTGAGACATAGATTGTGTATGTGTGCCATTCAGAGGGTGAATGGGCAAGATGAAATATTTAAGTGCCTTTGAACGGGGTATGGTAGTAGGTGCCAGGCGGCCAAGGTTTGTGTCAAGAACTGCAACACTGCTGGGTTTTTCACGCTCAACAGTTTCCCGGGTGTATCAAGAATGGTCCACCACCCAAAGGACATCCAGCCAACTTAACACAACTGTGGGAATCATTGGAGTCAACATGGGCCAGCATTCCTGTGGAACACTTTCAACACTTTGTAGAGTCCATGCCCCGATGAACTGAGGCTGTTCTGAGGGTAAAAGGGGGTGCAACTCAAGATTAGGAAGGTGTTCTTAATGTTTTGTACACTCTGTATAGCTGTGCAAAAAATACAGTGTCTGGTTTGCTGATGTTTTATCCATGTAGTCTCGTAGATTGTATTATCATTCATGTCATGATGTGCTTGACTAATTTCTGTCCATTTCTATCTAGATAAAAAGATTTGCTAATGCATTTTGGACTGCAGGACAGCAGTGGCATGTATTCATGGATGCCAAGGGAAGCCAGGCTTCCCCAATAGTTGTTTATTAGTCCGAAAATGTCAGAAACATAAACTTGCTTGACCATGTTGTAGGTCATGTAACTGTTTGTTACATGCAATATGTTTTGTGGACAGATGTTGCTCTCCGGTTTTGTGATGAAACAAAAGTGTGGTTGAATTTATTCTGCCACTGTGTCTTTATTGTCTTGGCTTTAGGCCTATATATCACGGTGGCAAGGCATATGAACTAACAGGATATTATAGAGCAAACAACGCAATTATCACAACAGAGGTTGTAATATGGCTTTTTGTCCCCGGCTTGGCTTCCCCTGTGATTTTACCCACGCACCGCTACTGCAGGACAGATGGCCATTATCACTGCCCCCAGTGTGAAATAATCAGGAGAGATAACATGACAATTCACCTGTTGTCGTGTCAAGGGGCTTCTCCTGTTACATCATCTGCACTGTCCTCCATGCCTGCTTGTCTGTCTGACAAACGGGAAGTGTTTTTTGTTTTATTATTTTAGATTAATGGCTATAAATCAATCT